GGGGGGGCGGTTGGGCGCGGCCCGCGCGCCCCGCCCTGCACCGGGATGGAGGGCGAGGAGGCGGCGGGCCCTTCGCTCAGCGCGGCGCCGGCCGGAGGCCGCGGGTTACCACGCGTGGGTGTTTACTTGTGGGTGGTTTGGGCAGTTAACTGAAGAGCCCAGGCGTGAATCACGCTCGACGACCGGCCACCTTACGGCCCTCCTCTCCCCGGTGCTACGGCATCTTCGCCTCTTTAGCTCGTCAGGGACCCGGCCGGTACTCGGTAACGCAAACTGATGCTTCAGCAGTAAAGGTTGGCAGCTGCCTTTGAAGTGTAGTTTTGGGACGCTGTGGTTTGCTGGCAGGGCTGTTTTGTCGTTCCTAGCCGTGGGTGAGACAGACCGCTGTAGGCTTTTTCGGACTCCTCCACTTTCACGCAGCTGGAGTTGAATTCTCTCGCAAGTGCTGGGGAGGTGGGGTTAGCTTTAGTCTTTGAACTAGTTGCTGGTTGAGCTACCAACTAGTGAAATCCTGATGTCCGTGTATGTTTTTTTTTTTTTTAAATACATAAATACTATGCAATAGTGATATTTTTCCACAGAGATTTTTTTTTCTTTTCTATTTGATTTTAAGGTATCTTCACATTTTGATGATCTTCTGGTCGTTTGTGGCTGGTGTTGTCACATTCTACTGCTCATTGGGACCAGATTCTCTCTTACCAAATATTCTTTTCACAATAAAATATAAACCTAAGGTAAATATGCCTGTTTGTAACAGTAGATATGGATAGTAATTTTTCTCTAATTCTCTTTGCTTTTAAAAATATGGCACAAGTGCAATTGTTATCCACTTTATTAATAACGATTTTACAGCAAATATACTCATATTGTGATTAAGATTTGTTTTTTTCATATATTTGTGGAAAGTCCCATCAGATCTATGTATGTGCGTAAAGCTTTCTTTTGGGACTATACATGGATGTTATTTTCTAACCGTTTCACTCATCTTTCCCTTTTGGCAATTCAGTATCAGGTGACATGCAATAGTTGAGAAATCATACAATAATCACGTTCTCTTTTATTTTATTTTTTATGCTTGTCCTCTGGCTAAGTCATTGCTGAATCTTCACTGTTGACTGTAATCGAACTTCTTTAAGTAAAAATGATTTTCAAAGAAGAAAAAGCCTAAATGAAATTACTATTTTCTGACTTTAGAATGGTGTAATGCCTATTTTCGTAGGACCAAAAGTGTTGTAGTTATAATAGTTGAAAGCTATGAGTGAGGCAAGATTTGTAGAGAAATGTAATGTCTGTTGTGAGAACAGATGATGTACGGGGAGATAACTGGAGAGGTGAGAGAGTATGTTTTGCAAACTTTAAGTGCAAGATGTTTCTGTTCAATTCAGTTGTTTCTCATACTGTGTCTTGCTTTCTTGCTGGGAAAACAATTTTGTCTTTATGCTGTTCAGTTCTCTGTAACTGTATACAGAAAGACAAATTGACTAATCTATCAATATATTAAGAGAGTTATGATTTTGAAGAATATAAATTTGTCCAAATGTTTTCTCTTAGCAATTAGAACTCCCAGAGCTATTTCCCCATGGTCATAGCTGCGCTGTCTGTGGCAAGGTCAAATGCAAGAGGCACAGGTAAGTTAAATATGTGGGACTGGTAATCTTAATATGTTTTGTGCCATGGCAGTAGGAAACTTTCAATCAAATATTGTTACGCTAGGTTTTCTATGTTCCTACAGGCCTGCTTTGCTTCTAGAAAACTATCAGCCGTGGCTGGACCTGAAAGTGCCTTCGAAAGTTGATGCATCCCTCTCAGAGGTAATTGCTGCTTCATTTTTTGAGTTCCATGAAATCCGGTGGGTTTTTTTTTCCTTTTATATCCCTGTTAGACGTGTTCCTTCTGGTCCAGTAGAAGCGAGTCAGATGTAGTTCCTACATTTGTTAACTTGTTTTTGCAAAGGCCAAATCAGAGCATATACTAAGAGCAGGGAGGCAAGATGACATTTGTTTCACACAGATGTGACTGTTTCTGTAATACCATGCCTAGACCTCAGAAAACGTACGTGATTTGGGAAGTGTGTAGGAAGGAACAGTTATGTTTGCGTCATTAAAAAGCGTGTCTTACTCTGAAAAAGTTATGAATCCTAGCCTACTTAGTCTGTTGAAGTGGAGGTTAAGGGGTGATTTGTTCCAGCTACAAAATTTCTGTAATATATTTCTGTAAGTTGAATGTCTGTTCATAGGTGGTTAAATCATCAGACAAAGCCGTAACAAAATCTTTCAAAAAAAGAAGTTAGTGTGTTTATTCAAAGGACAGCATAATAGCTGTTTTTAATAAGACCCTAACTCAGGAAATGTCTTGAAATAATTTTGTCTTGCTTTGTGCTTTTTAGAAAATAACTACAGAGTTACTTTTCTTTGGGTTCGTGTTTTTTTTTTTTTCTTGGCTGGCAATTGATGAAATCCCGTGGCAACTGAATAGATAAACTTTTGTCCTCCTTCAGAGCTGGAAGAATACACAGTCAGTTGTGTAGCTTAATCTCATTTATTTAGAATTTTAACTTTGTAGTTCTGTGATTAAAAAAACAAATAAATAGCACGTCAGAGGCGAGCATATTCTTATGTAGCAGCTTCTGCTGTTAACAATCCGTTGTATTAGGTCAGAGCTGCCTTTGCTTGTAGTATAAGCTAATACTTTAATTCAATTGTGAGTGGTGGCGTCTGGGGCATGCTCCATAGCAGAAGTGGCCAAAGGATGAAAACCTTAAGGGAGGAGAGGGAGGGACAGTTGAGGAATGCTTTAAAACACCACACCAGCAACTTGATGACTTCCTTTGGTTTAATGTTGTGACTTTCTCTGTAATTTCAGAAGCAAACTTCTGTTATTTTAAAATTATTGAATCTATTAAAATTATTTAATGTTTTTCTGCAGAAGTTTAGGCCCAAGCGTATTAAAATAGAATATCACTCCATACCATTGAAAGAGATTTATTTTTTTAACAAACTGTTGTTTTAGCAATAACGCATGAAATATTTTTATGCGCTTATATTAGATGGCAAAGGATGTGGTAAATGCTGCAGGACTGGACATTTTTATGTTAATCTTTTTATTTTTTCTTCCTCACCTAAAAGATGCAGTAGCTGAAATGGGAATTAATGCAAAAACAAAAAAAGTTTTATTGTGTGTTATTCATAGAAGAGATATGAATAGCTACCACAGTTATTTTGTAAGACAGATCTTTAAAACGTATCACCACACATTGGCATTTCTGTATTTGTTAGCTGTTACTGTAGTTCTGCTTTTACCGAAGTGTGGTTTTTTTACTTCAATAGCATGTCCCTGGCCCTGCTTTATTTAGCAGCGTAGATATGGCTTTTGTATGTCTATGCTATGCTTCTCATTCCTTTCTTTTCTTTGGGTGCTTAACTAGAAGGAAGTGCCAGACATGAGTTCTGTGTGATCCTGAGGCAGTGAGGCAGGATACTAATCTTTGGTGGACCCAAACAGACTCTATTCATGCACCTGAGTCACTGTTTCCACTTACCTCCTATACTATTTGGAACAAGAAATTTTTTTGCATCTGTTGCCTGTTGCAACTCTTTTTTGCTAGTTAAAAGGGTAGCAGAGGTTCTCCCCACCATATTCCTGCTAATCATTTGACCTGGGGATGCAGCGTTTAATGTGTGCCTGGAATCAGATAGCTTGCTTAGGGTTGGAAGGAGAGATTGCTCTTATTTTCTTTCATAGGCTAATCATACATTAGGGGGAAACTGATACAGTGAGAACTGAATTAAAGTTAATGAGGCTCTTGAAGGAGTGCAGCAGCAGGATTTGGAATGCTTTTTGAAAAAGCAAATTCTTCAAATTATTTAGAATAATTCTGAGATTTTTGACCGTTAGTTTTTCCCGTTCTTCTTTTGCAGATTGAAGAATTTTAGCAACGTTCTAATTTCCCAATGTTTCTAATTTGAAATAGTCTGAAAGCTTGTATTTTCAAGTGCTTGCAGACTAATTTAATACAAACTTGAATCAGAAGAAATGCAAGTCTTCCTTACAAATGCAGGTTTTTCTATCTTGGATTGTGGTGGCAGTTTGTCCCATTTTACAGTTTCTTAATGTTTTTGCAGCCTTGTTTTGGTTATCTAGCTCCTATAAATGGTTTAAAACAGTAAGGAAAGCCTGTGCTTGACGCTTCTTCCCTCCTTCATTGATAGTTATTGTTATAGTTGAAATCTAAACTGCCTCAGCCATGGATCGATCAACATTTGATAGTTTGGTCTGTATCCTGCACAAAAACAGTGTAGTGACCAAAGTATAACTTTGTTTGCAGTTTTTTTAAATCTTTGTGCTTTATCTTAGTTTTCCCAATATGTTTTTCATTTTGAATTAGGTATGGTTTCTGTTGGTCAGTTTTAAGTTAAGTGTACTTTTAAATTTTACAGACTGGATAAAGGAGAATTGAATTGTAGCATTGAGTTTAATGAATTTGGTTCTTTACCTACAATGCTGTTATTGCTGTGTGAGGAACAGTTTAGGTTTAACTGTTGCAAATCAAGTCTATGTAATATTTGGAGAAAAAAAAAAAGCTGACTGGTTGTTCTTGCTCAGCATCGTGAAAGAAAAGGGTTAGTGGAACAGGGTGCTATCTGTTGATCTCAAACTTTTCATTAATTTTCAGATTCTCAGGTTCTTACTTTTCGTATGCAACCAGAACTTTTATCTTTTTGTTAGGTCTAAAAGCAGTTTTAATCTTTCCATGCATTGCTGGAAAATGAATGACAAGAAGTCAGTGTCTTGAATGTGGCTCCTGCTCTTGTGGCAGCACACTGGCCTGCCTTCTTTCTTATTGTGAATGGCTTGTTCTACGAGGTGTGATCTTCAGGATCACAGTCTCTCCTATCTAATTGTACTGTCTTACTGTCTTTTAAGGCTTTTCTTGTACTTTCTACTTTACTTTTCAACTCCTTGTTGCTGGCCAGTCTAATCCAGCCTGGTAGTTCTAATCTGCTACTGAATCGTTCATCACTCAGCTCATAGTTTTTCCTCTTGGGAACTGGAGTTTATTCCATGGCAGTCCACAGAAAGCTTGTCGCAGCAGCAGTAAACTGAATAGCTTGCAGTATTGCATTGTTTGCTAGGAAATAAATTCTCTTTTTCTTTCTTCAGCTGCTGCTTATACTGCTGCCTGCTGCATTTGGTCTTACGCTTTTAATCACTTTGCAATTAAAAATTTTACATGCATTGGGAACCAGTCATTTTACAAAATATTGGAAAAACAAGTAGGCTTTAAGTGAAATGACTCATCATTTATATTTAAAACTGAAGAGTAAAACTGAATAGAAAAAGAAATTACATCTTATTAACTAGCATTCTTTGAGATATTATCATATCCCTTCTGTTGGTTCATGTGAGCAGTGCAAACAGTTGAGCTTGCATGATGTTTCTGATGTTGCGGGACCAGAAGACAGTGCACGTGTCCTACTTTCTCGGTACTTTTAAAGAATGTAGCGGATGGTGCTACAGTTTTTTCTGAGCTACAGAATTGCACGAATATCACCTGCAAGGCTCGTAGAGTTTGTAGGGAATGTCTGTATGGATTGCACACCTTAAATTCCCATTACTGGCAAATAATTACCTAATTGCCTATTATTCCTTGAGTGCTTGTATTTGGGAGCCTAGATGATTTCACATTGTCTCTCTCTTAGTTTCAGTGTTGCATCTTGGTGTAATGGAGCATCATATGTAACTGCAGTGCTGTGCATTTAGAAAATGTGCAGAAAGAGCTTCATAGGACTGCATTCTGCATGTCTAGCACCAAGGCATTTTTTGTTAAGGCCATATAGGTAACTTGAGCTCTAGCAGAATGTGTTTTTACCATTGCTTTCAGCTCTGTTGTGTGGACTTCAAGTGTATTTTAACTTAGTTATCTGATCAGCCTCTGCGTATAGTGCATTTGGGCCCTTAACTACTGGGATCATCCACATGGCTTTGTGCTGTGTAAGTAATACATACAGCCCTACCTAAGTAATACCGTAGAGTCCTAACTTATGGTGTGGACTGGGAAACAGGAGGCATTAGGAGGAACACTGACAATCGCGTGAAATGGATCGAGTGGAAGTCAGTTGCAGGGTGAATCTTAAGATCTTATCCGGAAGGTGGGATGGGCCATCAGGTCTTGCATTTTCCCCCGCTTTCCTTGCTGAGGTAATGGACTGCAGGAAGATCATTCTCAGAACCACAAGTTTTTGGCTTAATTAACACTGAGAACAAGGTTGCTTCTTGTTAGAAATGTTCTTTCCTAATAACTTTAGGAGCCTCTGGAGTGTAGGCTATGAGAGCATCACAAGTTACATTAGCAGTTGAAGAACTGAAATAGCAGTGACATGTACCTGATGGGCAGGCTTTCAGCCCCCCGAAATAAACTATCGATAAAAGAAACCTCTTTCAGGAAGAGCACATTATACTCACACTGAGTACAATTGTCTTAAGGCTTGAAGGCTGTCCAAATGCACTTTTCACTCCGAAGAGGAGATGATTTGCTGTAGATGCTGTCGATGGTTGCTCTTGTGGTGGATGCCCTTGAAGTGCAGGGCAAAAGCAGAGGAAGAAAGATAAGGCACCCCCAAGTAGATACCCAATATGGATTTTTCTGCAGGTCTTTCCTCTTCAGAAGCACTTTTTTGAGAGAGCCTGCCATTTGAGCCCTGGAAGAGGGTTATTTTGTAGAAACTTTAAACAAAGAAAAACAATGTTGCACTACCTGTGAGACTGAGGCTTCTAGAATAAGTTGATATTTTATATACTGGCAGTGCTATGGATGACATGAGGTCTAAAGTACTCTGTTCCATTGCTGTCCGTTAATGGCTGTTAAGGTAGTGTTTTCTCACTCTGGAGCTGGATTTGATCTACCTCCTACTAGCTGAAGATTAGCTTCTAGAGAAGGTTCTGTGAAATGTCCTGATCTTTTCTGTCTTGGGAAGTAAAAAGATCTGCCCTTTCAAACATCCACCTTTAATGGAAATATGACATAAGGGATCAATATGTGATCATATTCAAATTTCAAGGTTTCAGGAAAGCTTTAGTTCTGTGGGATTGCTTAATACAAGTCTTAGGCTGGATGGAACAACCTGGAAAATTCTATTCTTGCTGTAGGACAGGGTGGGAAGAGAAAAAGAAAGGGAGAAAAGACGTTAATGAATTTAGATGTCTGTGTTGTAGACCATGCAAAGTCATCCAGAATAAGAAAGCCTCCTTTCAGAGAGGGTGAGAGGGGGAAAAAAAAAAAAACTCTCCTTGGCTCTTAAAAAGAAAGGGAGGAGGAGGGAAATTCCTGAAATGAAACAACTGCAAAAAGGAGGGTACCTAATTGAATTTGAGTGGACAATCTTCTTAGTAGTGAAGACGGAAAAAGAAAGTGCCATCAACTGCCCAAGTCTAAAATACTGAGGAAATTTTAAGAAGCCATGGTGTTCATCTTACTAAGTATACTTGAGCAGAGCAGAGGCCCTAAAGATAGCACAAATCTGTATAATGAGCTTGAATTCTTGAAGTGTGTACACGCTCAGGGTGAATGCATGTAGCAGCAAATCTTCTTAGAAGAGTAATACTTATTTTTATAAATGGTACTTTTGTTATCCTCTGTTACATTCAGCTTTATTTTCAAACAGATTTTATATTTTTCTTTGAATACTGTGACTTCTTTTTGCAAAACCTTTCCTCTGTAGCATATGGCATAACAGCCATATGTTGTGGCACAACGCATTCTCTCTTAATACCCTGATCAGCACTGATGCTGCTGGGAGTGTTGATGCCACTGATCTCCAAAGTAATGACTAGTTGAGGAACAGGCTGTTACGGGAGAAGGTAATACAGAGGATATCTTGGTACGATAGTGAAGGAAAAATCTCAAGCAAATGTCACCCACCCTTTTCCTTTCTCCCATCTTTTTCTTGGCACTGTCTCCAGTTTCCCCCTCCCTCCAAAAGCTTTCTGTTTGCTAATCATCATACAAGAAATGTAAAAGTTACTTGAAACTGTTGCTTCAAGTAAGGAGCGATGCCACAGCTGCGGTTTGGCTCACAGTACACCTTGTGTCTGTTGTCATAGCAGCTGTTAATTGAACAGGGGCTGTCGCCTTCCCTCCTTCCCTTCCAGCTGTGCCAATGAAAGCCAAGCTGAGCCAGGGCATGTGTCTGGCACAGGTGCAACAGTACTATTTCCTCCCAAGGAACCCAGACTTTCCAGCATGGGAAAGGCAACCGTGGGCCTGGCCTGTGAGGAAGCAGGGTGGAAAAGATAGGGTGGAGAGGCTGTCCTGTGGAGATCCATGTACATGGGGATATGCAGGGGCTAGGGATAAGAAACGGAAAGCCATGGTGGTATATGTGGGGCATGGGCTTTTAGAAGTACTCTCAAGCTCCAGAAGATGGCTGGACAGTAAGGTGGGCTTTAATGAAAGCTGCGGTGCAGGATTTGGAGGAAGAGGAATGACTTTTATAGAAGCTGCTTTTTAGGTTTCTTCTTTTCTTTGCTTTCTAGGGGGAAGAGAGGTGAGCCTACGGTGTGGATTGTAGGGTGAAGGGGAGCCAGAAAAGTTGGAGATCTGGGTGAATAGACGTGGCAGTGTGTCTAAGTGGAGGACGGGTAGCTGTGCATGCATGAGGCTACACACTATAGCAGAAAAGAACGGGGCATGATCTTGAAAAACCAGGGAATGGCTGTTGGAACAAAGATTCCGCTTTATAGTAGTTGCCTAAGAGAACAACCATAGCACCATGCTACTGCTGTCTGTAGTAGTAATTGCAGTCGTTTCATGTTGGGATCTGATGAAAGCATCAGTTTATTACTATTTGCACAAAGTACTGTTTATTATGCAAAACGATTGATTTTGCACTAGGACTATATATTTGTATGAGAGTTTTATGTTTTACAAATTATATTCTATGAGATTTGAAAGGTGTTTGTTTTGTTTTAATACTTTTAACAAGGATTTATGATAAACTTTATTTTTGTAATGTTATTGTTCTTGTTCTGCACAGGTACTTGAATTGGTGCTGGAAAACTTTATTTATCCGTGGTACAGGTATGAGCTTTCCATAGGAGTTACTATTTTTGAATAACATAAATGTCACTCGGGACACTGTTTTAGAAATAAGCATCTGAAAACAAGCACTTTTTAAGTATAAAGCATTCTTTTAAGTATAATAATTTCATCATGTTGGTGCCTCTTATGTGCAGTAGTACAATTTTTTTATGATTTGATAAATGGAGATTGTTCTGAAATTTGTATTTGATACGGAAAACGCTTTTGGTTTATTCTTTTTTCATATAATCATTTCCTAATAACTCTTACTTGGAGATATACATGACTTGCTTAAATCCTGTGTGAAAACTCAAAAAACTGAAATTTATTTCCAGATCAGAGGTGTTCTTCCAATCTTTCCCATATTTTTTTTGTCTTAAAAACCTATATGGTGAAGTATTTTTAAAAATTGCACTTTTAGTTGATATAGAAAGACTATACTAAATACATGTTGTTGCCTCCTTGTACAGCAGCTTTTGATTTGCTTAATTTTAAGGCTGTGAGTAGTTATGCTGAACTCACTTGAGAAGTATTGTGTAAGTAACTTTAAAACAGTACATAAATAAAAGACAGTGGCCTATATGGAATTTTTTCTGCCTTGTAAATTTATATATGAATATATTATTTCAGCATTTAAAAATTAAATTTAAAATGTAATAAAACAGAAGTAAAATAATATTTACCTTTATTCTGATTTTGACTTCTCACTAAACGGAGAGGTTCAGTTTTGTGCTAAAAATAAATTTACATTTCTGTCTTATATTTTACTCCCTTGCCCCTTCCCACCCTGGGTCTCTGTAGCATCTAAAATTTCCTGGGCAGACGTTTTTGCCTGAGTGGATTTTAACGGTGACTGATGTCCGTATGTCTGCATTTATTTTACTTGTATGATGAATAAATACATGGAAGAACCTAACTGCTTCTGCAAACAGCAGAGGGAGCTTGAGCACCATTTGTTGTGAATCATCAATTTGGAAAACTCTGGATTTTTAACTCTCTGATATAGAAAATTAGAGGATGTTCTGCTGAGCTGTTTGATAAAGGAGCAAATGTAAGGGAGCCATCTTCTGTATTGTATAATTTCTTAGTTTTATAATTTCAAATTAAGCAGGCTGCTGGGAAATCCATTCCAAGTTTCCGTGTTTTGGACTGGCAAGGAGATTGGTGCGCCACCTGTTACATACACTCATCTCCAGGTTCCAACATAATGGAAGTCTAGAATACACCATATAGTGTGTATACCATAGTAATAGGTGTGATTAGAAGTGCAGTCTAAAAGATGCATGGAATGGTCCTGTACTGTGTCTTTGATTTTCCATGGCTGTATCTCCACATTTGAGCTAACTCCACAAATTCTCACCATACTGATCAGACCTAATAAGCTTTCTGAGAACCTAAAGTTATGGGAAGTGCAGTGAGCTACAGCATAGTATTATCTGAATAATTCTGTAGGAAATAGCTTGTTCCTGAAAGGTTTATTAGTTACAGCTTAAGACTAGTAATGAATGTCAAATCTGATCTCATTCCCTGTAATGCCATTTGGATGTTTTCGTGCTTTCCTGTATTCCCAGGAACAGCAATGCAGGGAGGCCTGAACTATGTGCATACGCAGCTACATGAGGTTTGTGCTGTAGAGCATATTGGTTCTGGCTTTTCCATTAGGGGTACCTGCATCGTTTGCAAAGCTGATCTGACCGTGGAGATAGGACAGTTATATTCATGAAATGTTGTTCCTGAGCTTAAAAAACCCCACTGACCCCAGCTAATTCTTCACAGAGCCAAAACAGAAACCTCTTCATCCAGACTGCGCTTATGCAGCAGTGTGGGTGCTAACCACCACCAGCAGCAATTCAGACTTATCTTTTGTCAGCCTAATCTGACAATTTTTGCTGCTTTCCTTTTCAGAAACGTCTGGGCACGGTTCCTTGTGCCAGCTGACCCACTTTCAAGTGAATGCAGTTTATGCAGATTTTTTTTCCAGTGTTCTGCCAGCTGATGCTGTCTTGCAGCACCCAGCACACTCTGGAAATCAGAAAGCTAATACTACATGTCTCACTCAGAAGCAGAGGCAGTGGATGCTTACGAGGAATCTTTGTTGTGACATAAAATCATAGAATTTACTGCTCCCAAAGTAAAGTGCTGTGAGCAGGGAAACACTATGCATGTTAAGTTTGTTTCATTAATACACTGTGTTAGAATTTGTGATACTTATTAGTAGGTTAAAATTTAGAGATTACTGAGAATAACTCATATTAATTTAAGGGAATAGAGATTAGTAAGTAAAATGTAGCGAAATATGTACTTCTGTCTACATGCATTTTTGGCTTGCTATTTTTCAAAGTATTTATACCAATCCCATTTCAATATTTAGGTTTTAAAAAAGTTTCCAACTATGTAAGAAGAATAGCGCATAGTTGTAAGGAATCAAAGTTTACAAAGCTTCAAAATACCAGTCTTGAGTCGATTGCTTATACCTTGTGCTATACAAGAAGGCTAGGTAAATGTTATTTATGCTGAATTATACCTCATTTTAAATAGGTGAGTTTAAAGTTTGAATGATTCATTTTATGCCTGCTGAATTTTTAGGCCACTGATGACAATGTAATGCCAGTTCTCTGAATTCTAATGTAATATTAGTAATTGCCACATTTTTGTAATGTATTACTGTGAAAACTTTTTCCTTCATAATGACTAAAAAAATTTTGGACATAGAATTGCTTCTATTTTAAATGCAAGTAGTATAATTGAAAAATCAGGAGTTGTGGTGAGTTACAAACCACAGCCTTACAGTTTTTTTCAGGTTGCAGCTTGTTTTCTTAATCTTTGAGATAAGAGTTGGCCAGATTTCATAAGGATAATTGTCAGTTTAAAAAATTCCCTTCAGTATTTGTATTTGGTTTCATTTACAGTAGATCCCATAAGACATCCCATGTTGCATGCAATAGCAATTGAGTGTATCTTTTTGGAGACGTCTGACTGAGTAACTGTTTACAATTAACTGACTAAGCCTTTTTCTTTTAGCAGAAAGAAAAAGGCTTATCTCCATTATACTTACTGTTGTGTTTTTAAGTTCTTCCTCAAAAATCCTGGCAAAATGCAGTCAGTTTTTAAAATATTTCTAAGCAAGTTGTTTGGACCTTCCATTGTGTCACTGGAGATTTGGGATTTTACAGATTCTTAATGTTCTTTTAACCAGTCTTCAGCGTGCTGCCGATGAAAAGAATGTCTCTGTAAGCCCACGGCATGTCACGAAAGTACGTGCCATAAAGTCTTGTCCAAGTAGAATCAGCCAAAATGCTGGTTATCCAAGTGTCAATAAAATAACAACTTCTTGGTCCAAAGTACTTCATTTATCTTGTTGTCTGTCAGATATTAATAATACAACCATACAGTTTGTTTGCTAATCCCTTGGCTGCTTTTGTTAGTATAGAACAGTATTTGCTAACTGTTTTGCTTTCAAAATGTCAACCGCTTATCTTAAAACAAACCAAACTGCCCCCTATAATATTGTTGTCTACATATGATTAGCTGTGGGAGGATGGTTGTGTGCCTTACAGGAAAGCAGGCTACTTTCTTTGAGGTGCTTTTTTTATGCAATTAGTTGTATACTTTGACGATCAGGTCACCAGTAGTTGTAGCTAACGGTTCACCTTCGCTGTGTGTTTGCACGCTATATAACCCAGGCTAACATTACTTTAAAAAAAAAAAATGGATGCTGAATAATGTAATATGATGTTATGGGCATAAGATGTTCAGTATTTTTCAAACATACTGTTGTATTTTGTACAGAAATCTTTCAAATACACATGGCGGTTGCATTTAATACAAATGCAAACCCATGCGTTATTGAAAGCTGTAATGGCTTTTACATGTGGTCGTTAGCCAAAGTAGGATCTAGCGTTCTTTGGTGTATCGTTGCTCTGTTGTTACAATACAGTTTTATCGATATCTTTGCTCATATCGTAATGTTCGTATAGGCTTAAATGCTGGTACGTCTTTTTCTTTCTATTGCGTTTTGAAGACTGCTGCTGTTACGATGTTATGTTTTTCCACTCAAGTTCATTGCGTTTTCTAAGACATATATTTATCATTTTCATTCAGTTTATTTAAAAACGACATGGAGTTAGTTGTTCTTCCTTCCTTAATTAACTTAACATTTTTTTAAGTGTTTTTTCACTGAACGTATGGTGTTGCAGCAATTGGAAACAGGAAGGCCAAATTAAAAGTTAGATGAAGTTTTGACCGAGTGATTTGGGAATCTGTTTCAAATTCTTTAATTTTGTTTGTTTCCCAGCACTAACTATATTAGTTTCAATTCTGTTCCAGCCGGCTATAGATTGAGTTTTTTCATTTTGTTTTCTGTATGAGTAATAAAGAGTTTTAAAGCTTATGCTGCAGTGAAGCTAGATCAACTTTTCAAAAAGTGAATGTTGTCATTATCATGTTTTAATTTTTCTATATATAAACCAATTTTTATCAGTTTCCTGTGTTGCTTTTTTTTTCCTTCTAGGAAGTGGCTATCTCTGCTTAGACAAGAAATAGACCCACCTTTTGGGAGGAGGGGGGAATATAATATGAAATGGCATCTAAGTATTAGAACTTGTTGGAAAAAATACTGATGCAAGTTTTCTGTTGGAGGAGGCTCAGCTGAAATACTAGGGAGGTATTCTATTTCATCAGAAGTTATATGAGAAACTACCAATCCTGTAGTAAAACTTAAACAAAAAAAAGTTAACATAGCCAAATCTATACCTGAAACAGAACAAAATTATTTGAAATCTTGGAATGCAGAATGTCTTGGAGTCAGTATTATGGAAAATTCCAGTTTCGACTAGCTTAATTGTAACACATGCTTGCAGTACTTCTTTTTCCAAAGGCCTCGCAGCTATTAATTCAGATCTCTTCATGCCAGTGAATGAGGAAACAGTCATTGTTTTAATATATGTGGAAACTGAGTTAGATGATGTTATTTTGTCAAAATTGGGCAGATATTTATTATTAGAGCATAAGTCGGTATATAATTGCAAGTTACATTCAGACATTTTCCTTAAGCCATTGTTGCATGCACAGACATACTGGAAATGCAGTTTTTTTGTTTTGTTTTCTCTCAAATAGGCAATTGATCACACTATAGTCCCCCTCAGTGGCTTTCATTTAGATTAGTATCTGTAGAAATGTCACCACTGAGCGCTCTTAGTCCAGCTTTTACTAGTGCTGGATGTGTAGTGATTGGATTAATATAAAGAAATTATTTTCTTCTGTTTTCTTACATGACTTTTTTTATACCTCTGCAGAAATATTACTGATGATGAATCCTCTGTGGATGAACTGAGAGGCACGCTGCGTTTTTTTGCATCGGTGTTAGTTCGGAGAATACACAAGGTAAAGTGGCTTAAAGGTTAGCGTTTTTCCATCTGAACGTCTGTAACAAAACAGTTTTTTAATTATTTTGTAAATGACGATTCTAAAATCAATCTTACAGCCAGTATAGGCAATTTTCTAGGAAGTTTCCTGTTGCACTTATCTGTTCCCTCCTTTTGGGGCTTAATCTATTCCTGGTTGCCAACCGTCTTTCAAGGTTCTTGCAGGTGAAGATCTTTCTGATAGCAGTGCAAGGCATTTTTAAAACCTTGGAATGATATTTGAGTTGTCTTTTAGTAGCTTAATTCAAATAGAAATAATTTTGAGAATAAATGAAGAATTATTAGACAACAGTTAGCAGCGTACCTGTCTTCGTGGGTTCTCGTTCCTTCGGTTCTTGGAATACAGTAAAGGTCCTTATATTGTTTATAGGTAAGAGACTGTAAGTAAGTGAATAGCTTGCTGTAAGAATTATAAAGATGACTTGCATACTAATCTGATTCTTACAAAAAGTTCTGAGAACTAAATTTTAAAGATTCAAGTTACCTGATAACTGTGTTTAATATATTAGCCTATACACCTTGATGGTCTCTGGTAAAGTGCTTCAAGCCTGTTTTACAGGAGCTGCTTCTAAATTTCTGGCTGTTCTAAATTTCTGGCAGGAAAAGATGCTAACTCAGTTTCCAGATTTACTCAGTGTTTGACCCCTCTGTTGGAGCTGCTACCATAACTGTGTGTATGACTTCTTTCCCCTCCTTAGTAACAGCAGTATTTCCTGAGCTACAAGTTATAAATGTTACTCTATCATGACTGATTAATAGCCTGATTCTGTCCTTGCTGTGTATCAAATCCAGATGACTTTCTTGTTTACTGTAACTCGGGCATGTTGCTTTTAAAGTTAATGTGGGGGAAAATAAGTAAATGTTCTGGGTAGTGCAGACGTGATGGAGATGTGAAACTGAAGTAAATCTTTCAAAGTGAAAATATAGAGCAAGTCTTAAAATTTAATTTATAGTTCTAATGCATGCAGTTGTTACTTGAAATGTGTGTAGATCTAATGTTGATCTAGAAAAGAATGCTGTTGGGACTGTGCCTCCTTTATTGATCTTATAATAAGATATCAGTTGTGATATATCAGATGAGCTGTATCATCTTTTACCATCCAGTCTGAATTTAAATAAAGTACTAATTTTCCGTATCTGCCTTAGTCAGTAGCAAAGTATACAGAATATATTCAGTTTTATGTATCTGACTAGAGAATATATGCAGCAACAGTTAAAAGACGTTCTAACTGTTAAGGTATTAATCATTGTCGGGGGAGCTACAGAAGCATAAAGAATATCACTAAAGTGTGTTTTTCATTAGACATGGTTAGATCTATTTGTATATATCCTATGTAATAATGTAGTTTATTTTGTCTCTGTATGAAGTTCTATAAATACTTCCAACAAAATGATACTCATAAAAACTTTGTATTTTGGAATAGAACTGAAATTTGGCATGCTCGGCCATGCAATAGTGTGATATTTCATGCTGTACTATACTTTTCAAGTATAGGTCATAATTTTTCTGCCAAGTGAAATGTTTGTATGCATGCACATACCCCCCCCCCACCCCGTCCCTGACTAAGGCAGCCTGAACTAATAGCTATGATTCATATACTAGTGCAAGTATGCTTATAAATGAGAGTAGATATGCAAATTGAAGAATCTATGCTTATTAAGACTTAAAATTACAAACTGCTTCAGAGAGAAGAATCTTTGGGGGGGATTATTTGGGTCCAACAATTTCCTTTCTTTTCTGTTTAAAGTTACCTAGATTTTTTTTTTTTTTTTGAAGTGTGGCTATTTGAAAAAAATAACAAGCACCTAAGGCCAGTCTGCTCTTAAATAGTATCAAAATGCTAAATTACTCTGTTTGGGGGGTGGGGGGAAAGGCTGAGCTTCAATGTGTTTTAGAGTTTTCTTGTTCTGGCCATGTCTCGTTTGGATTGGGTGTGTTTAGTTAAGGGAAAGTGAAAGGATTTTCCTTTATACGTTGCAGTGCAGATGGCCCTGCATTTGATTTTTTTTTTTTTCTTTTAAATGATAAGATTCTAGCATGATGTCTATAAACGTTTGCTTGCTGTGCTCTTGGACTTTGCTGTGCAAGAATAAACACTCCCCTCTCCCTGTGTTTCATAAGAGACTTCTGCTTTATTAAAAGTAGTACTGAAATGTGGGTCCCAAATGACAGGGTTTTGCATTTATGAAAAAAAGCACCTAATTTTTTGCATACAGACAGGAGCTGACCTGAGTTTAGTTACTTTTAGGTAGTTCTAGTCTGTGGTACCAGCTTGTCTGAGCTGGCCTGGTAATAGCCGTACACACCTCAAGTGCCACAGGAGACTATGCAGGAATATATGCTATTCTTGTACCAAAGAACAGAAACAGCTCACTGGGCTCTGGTGGCCTTTGCAATTACACTTTCTCTGTGCTTTTCTGGCAAGATGTACGTTTATGCTTCTGAAACAGAAATTTAAGTACTGAAACAGTACTTATGGTCTTCATTAGACTTAGTCTTGATGAGGGGTAAGGAAAGAAACCTGTCCAGAAGTCTTAAGTTTTGAACACCTAAAATTGGTTGTGTCTACCTCTCTAAGGCATCTCTTATTCTTGCTTGAAGTAGAGAGCATACAATGTTTAACTCTGTTTCAAGGTAAGTTTCTATGCAAGTTCCTACATCTGGGAAGGAATACCTTGAAACTATGCAGGCTGGGGACTGACTGGCTGGAAGCAGCTCTGCTGAGAAGGACATGGGGCTCAGAGTAGACAGCAAGCTGAACACGAGCCAGCAGTTTGCATTAGCGGCAAAGATGACCAACAGTATCCCATGGTATATTAGGAGCGGCAGAGCCAGTTGATTGGGAGTTGGCACTCTTTAGACTGCATTTAGAGTACTGCATCCAATTTTGGGCCCCCAGTGCAAAGAGGCATTGATAGAGTGGTGTGAGTTCACCTGAAGGTCACCAAGATGGTTGGGGCTGGAGCACTTGACCTGTGAGATGGTTGTCGCCATCTTTATAGGTTTTCAAGACCCAACTGGATACAGCTCTGAGCACCCTAGTTTGATCGCACAGCTGACCCTGCTTTGAGCAGGAGGTTAGGCTGGAGACCTTCTGAGGTCCCTTTGCACCTGAGTTATTCTGTACTACTTTCATTTCTGTAATCACAGAGGAAAGTATAAACATAGGAATCTAGCTAATGTCTTTGATTAAATAATGCGTACAAAAATCATACAAAAAGTTGTTTTTTATTTTTCATTCAGCTTAGGAACAAGGACCATGTGATATGCATGTGGTAGTGTTGTTGGCACTAACGGTGGTCTTGACGCATAACTCAAGAATCTCTCTTGGTTCTTCTGCCGTCATCTGAGTTGAGACGTGTCTACCTGTATATGGACAGAGAGGAGCGTTTCGTTTTGCCTTTAGTTGTTATTGATGTATGATTCCTGAGCGGAAGGTACACAAGGGCTAGAAACAAAGTGCAATTAACTTGCTTTTGTGAGCAGTCAAATCTTTAAGTAGAACTAGACTTCATTTACAATGACTTGGGAATCAAGCTGCATTGCTATAATTATTGCAATGGAAGAATTGCCGTAAGAACCAGTTGACGGTAAATGTGTTAACAATACTGTTTATGACACAGTTGCCAATGTTGTTGCATGCCTTGTGCAGAAAATGGGTATACTGTCAGTTTTTCTAGAGAATTCATTTGTTGTTTCTAGAGCATTGATTTTATTATAAGGGGGTCATGTAGGCAAATTAGTATATTTGGTTGTTTTCTTGAATAAATTTTGAGGAAAAAAATAAAACAATTCTATCTCTGTTTTGGAACTTCTCTTTAGGTGGATGTCCCAACTGTTGTAACAAAGAAAATGCTCAAAGCGGCAATGAAACACATAGAAGTAATAGCCAAAGCCAGGCAGAAAGGTACTGTAAAGTCATATAATGCTTTATCGATTTAAAATGACAAGTTTATTTCTACATGCTTGTCATTATATTTCTTAACCTTTTCATCCTTACTGCCTTCCCTTTCAATATATATATATATTTTTTTTTTTTAAAAAGTGTTCTTTTTGCATTTTATCTTCTGGAGATAGCAAAGACAAATAGGAAATAAGTTATGATACAAATAATCTCTCTGTTTTGAAGTTCAGCATTCAGATATCCCCATAACTTTGCAATTCTTTTTTTTCTCTCTGTGTGGTAAACAGGAACGTATTTTTCTTGTCTATTCAGAGCAATTATAACTGAAATTATTTGCATGCTTGTTTGTACCTAATAAACTCACTGCACTGTAACTTTTACAGCCAGAATGATTCCCCATCCGTGAGTTACTATATTTTAAAAAGAATGTAATTGGAGTTATTGAAGAATCACTGGAGAAATATGAGATGCTGGCAGTAGTAGCTGTAGGCACAGCTGCAAAAGTGACATACCAGCATTTTGCTAGTTCTTCAAAAGAATTTCTACTCGTTTAAACAGCACAGGGAGAAAAGGAATCAAAAAACCCTAACATATTAAGAATGCAAATATTTAATTTCACATAAGGCTCCGGTTCTTCTTTAGAATTCTGATTATGTGCAAACTGAAATGTTTCTGACTTGATGACGCTAATGTGAGCAGGTAGTGGAGTTATTTACTGTATTGAAAAGTTTTATGTTTATAAACAATGGTCACATTTTGTATAGTAGCATATTTAATCCTTATCCAAAATAAAAATATCTTCTCAAGCTTAATGTAAGAATGTTATTAAAACTGCACTTTGAAAGAATACTTGCAAAATAGAGCACTTGCTGTTGGAAAATAGTTACCTTGATTTTCCTCCCCTTCCCCCACCCCCGCCCCATCCCCGATACTGGCTGTGTTCCACAACACTATCTGCCAAATCTGGTTTCATTCAACTTTTAAGTGTAGATGTTTACTTTCACTGGAGTCATGAACTTTTCCTCCCCACCCTCAGAATATCTCCTTGATATACATAAATACATAGTTATTTGACTTTTGGAAATTGTTACTGATCATGTAAGTAGTGGGTATAATGAGACATCCTGTGAGCAAATTAGATCTTCTTTTCATGGCACAACAAAAGGTTCAGCATATTAGATTATCTTGCAGTGCTGTTTATGCCCAATTTCATACTGCCTTTGATTTCTGTTAAGGAGCTGGAAACTTTTTTTTCCTCTTTGTCTTTTTTCTTTCTATCAGCAAAGAACTAGATTTTCAGTGCATGGCATCACAGTATATTTTTTAGTGTTTTCAAGGAAAAGAGTTACTCCCTGAGGGCAAATAAATGAGGTGGTAGCTCAAAATGACTTCTTGTGACAGAGCTTTCTAGCAAGTGTTGTTAAACAAGCCACCTATCGTATGTGGTTCAGAGGTAGCTTTCAGGCCTTGCTTTGATTACTGACTGAGCCTAGCCTTTCCTGTTTGTTTACTTTTGTATCCTTTTTAAGTTGATTGCTCTAGGGGGCCTTTCTTTTCCTTCTTATTCTTCTTTCCTATACTTCTGCTCATAATTCCGTAGTTCTCCTCGTAAGTCCTTACTATTTGCACAGATACCTCCATGATTCAGTATCTGCCATTGCCAGAATGCATTTCCCTCCTGTCTGCTTTTAGTGACACCAATCGGGCAGATTTTATCGGGTAGTATACCTTCCTATATGCCACACCAGCCAATATAGTTCTTGACTGTGAAGTACATGCTAACTGGCTTTTGTACTAAGTTCCATATGTTAAAAACAAGCTTTAGCCTTCTAATTTACAGATATGTTTTATGTGCCTAACCTATGCTTAGGGGGGTTCTTGATGTGGAGTCTGTGCTGGATTGTTAGTACAGCTAGGTGTGAATTATTACAGCTCAGTTCTTGCACTTGAAGTGATTTGAAGGAATGTAAAATAGTTGCTGCTAATTAATATGTGGAGTTTTTAACTTGATAAAGCAGATATTCTTAAGATATAGCCAAATAGCCAAACAGCTACTTGTATGAGGCAGTATTCTTGCAGATTCCCATGCTGATTTTAGTTTGATTTGTACTGTATTTAAAAGATACATTGCTTCATGTTTGTTTCTAAATGTTCTAAGCAGGAAACAAATATAACACGACAGAATAAATATTTAAGTTTTGTATTGTAGGCAGGTCGATACATAAAAGCCCAGTAGATCATACACCAAGGAGAAGCTCAGGCAAAAGCAAGTAGAGGCAGGCTTTGGGAAGCAGTTTTTTAGAAGAATCAAAATGTTGAGTTCTTCAATAATTATGAATAAAAAAACATTATTGAAACCCTACAAATTACGATTATTTGGTGAAGGAATTCTTATTTCTGTGTGAGGCTTAATTTTTACCTAGCCAGACTTCCAAGTCTAAGCCAAGGTAGTTTTTTGAAGTTACTACATTGTAATTCTTTGGCAGTTGTACATGTGCTAGAAGTATTAACTTCTTAGCACAAACTGAAAAGCAATCTCCTCTTGTTTCGCAATAAGAAAAAACTGGAACAACTTTTAATTCTGTTTTTTACTTGCAGTGAAAAATGCAGAGTTTTTGCAGCAAGCCGCTTTAGAAGAGTATGGACCAGAACTCCATGTTGCTTTGAGAAGTCGAAGAGATGAACTTCACTACTTAAGAAAACTTACTGAACTACTTTTTCCTTATATTTTGCCCCCCAAATCAACAGACTGCAGGTATAAAAAGTATTTAGCGTTGTATTTTTTTTAAAATATCTGCATATGTAGTGCTCTTCTTTTGGAGAGTGAAAGAGTGAATACCAAAGACACCCTTAATTTGGAATTTTTTTTTTTTCCCTCTGTAAAAATCAAGCAAATGAAGTACATACACAACAGTGAACTCCTACATAGTATTTTCACTGGTTTTATTCCCTGCTGGTGTTGATATGTTGTGTACACAGAAGCCTGCTTTCAAGTCCAAGAGAACTTTGGGAGAATGTTGAGGTAGATGATTCAAGGGAGTAGAAAGTCTAAACCTTTCAGAGGACTGTCAGGTGTCCCTGGCCATACTTACATCCACCTTTAAACTGTTACTGCCACCTTCTCTTCCTGTTTGGAAGTTCCCTCCTTCTGTGTAATGGTGGTGCTGGTTGCTTCCTCCTTTTGTGCAGTAGCTTGTTGGGGCTAGTCCTTGCTAGAGAGTAGGAGACCAGAATGCTAGTTTTCTTCTAGGTGTGTACGATTTTCTCCATCTTATCCCTTTGGTTGCATGTTCAAGGCTAGTGTTAGCCCTTTGTATATGAGGTGTGTGTTGTTTTTTCTTTGTTTGTTTGTTTAATCTACCTTAAACATATTTCAGCACACTCACAGTACTATTAAACACTAAAATATATTTTGGAGTAAAATATAATGGCGTTATCAACTTAATTCCCTTAAAAATTATGTAAACTAAGTTGCTATCAAAGTACTGATTTTTTTTCTTTTCTTTTTTTTCCTCCCCTCCCCAGATCCCTGGCACTTCTTATAAGGGAGATCCTGCCTGGTTCTGTTTTCCTTCCCTGTATGGATTTCTTAGCTGATCCTGTAAGACTTCGGAGTGCAGAAATAATCTTAACTTATTCAGTATTACTGCTTTCCTCCTAAGCAAGCAGTATGTTGTGGTAAAGCAAATGGTGCAGAGTGGCTTAATTGCTGTGACTTGGACTGGGGAAAAGAAAAAGAAATGTTGTGCCCAGTTATTGTTTTGGTTGTGCATTATAACGTGGTTTGAGTGCTTAACTGACCAAACTGATTAAAAATACAGTATTGGCATGATCTCTTAAGCATGTGTTTTTAATAAAAGACTACAAATACCATAAAATGGGAGAACGCTACATTAGTATAAGCACCTTCATGATGATAGAACTACATTTAAACAACCGCTTGATCACTTACCTGTAGCTGTGTTGTTATAGCAGTCTAAGTAAAGCAGCCTTTTTTGTTGCTGTATTGAAACCAATTGTTTTGTCCTTAATTCTGCTAAAAAGAAGGCATTTATTTCTAAATATAGGATACTATGATTTTCAGGTTTTTTATGAAGGTACTTTAATAAGCAAAATTGCTATACTTAGGAAGATGTCACCTACTTGCAAGCAGAAAGTACTGTAACTGTGGAAGAACCGGTAGCTTGTTAGATCTGCACTAACAGTAAAAATGCAGTGTAGAATTTTCTTCCCCCAGATGAAAAGTGTTTCAGTACAGATCTCTTAAAGTTCCCTGGCTTGTAAATACTTGGAGACCTTTCAAGTTTGACTGTTAAAAATGATCTGGCAACTTGTGTTTTGGTATTACTAATGTATTCACAGGTGTAAACTTGGACATGACGTAGTAATGAAATTTTCATCTAGTTCGGAATTTTCTTAATCTTGTATTATTTTTTTCTAAAGGACACTGTCAACCACTTGCTGCTGATCTTCATTGATGATAGTCCAGTGAGTATTGACAATATTAAAACAGTAGTAACCTACCTATTTACCTGTTCAATAAGCATTCTTACTTATTTTTTGTCACTTTTTCTACAGCCTGAGAAAGCAACTGAGCCTACTTCTTCGTTGGTTCCATTCCTACAGAAATTTGCAGAGCCAAGAAATAAAAAACCATCTGTAAGCAAAGGAAACTTTTTTTTTTATTATTTTTCTCTTTGAATAAGTATATTACTTTGCCTGCTGTTCTTGTTTCTACAATTTTTTGCATTATTTATGTTCTCAGTGAAAGTCTGAAAATTGGCTGACTGCCTTTTTATCCTATTAAGGTCCTGAAACTGGAGCTAAAGGAGATAAGAGATCAGCAAGACCTTTTATTCCGGTTTATGAACTTCCTGAAACAGGAAGGGGCAGTCCATGTGCTGCAGTTCTGCCTGACTGTAGGTAAGTTTACATAAGTGAACTGAGGTGCACTTGATCTTCAAAAGCTTTAAGAACTTGCATGTTCAATTGGATGTTCAGTCTTGGAACTAGACAGCGTTGTTTAGCAAGAGATTAAGTTTCAGGATCTGTGTTCAGTTACTTCGTTATATCCTGATTCTTTAATGCTGATCTTGACAACGTTAATGTCAGTGTAGACTTTTGCTCTTAATTGTATTTCTGTTTGCTGATGAAGGTTGTATGTTTTAAAATAGAATTTTGCTGTAAGGAGAAAAGTTCTGCCCACTTTTACAAGATAAAGCTGACTTTTCTAATATGGTTTACTGAAGTATTTCTAAAACGAGCTGTACATCGTGAGAAGCTTCTCATGTTGTTCTCGATCTAAAGGTCTGATGTGTATACAAAGCAGAAATGTAACATGAACACTAAAGCTGTTGGAACCTCCTGTTTGATAACCTGTCCCTTGATTATGATGTTTGTATTTCTTTTTACCGTTACATAAGTGTTGGCTGAGAAGCCTTCTGTTTTCCAATGATACATTTTTCTGTGAAATTTCTGTAATTTACAGTGGCTTATTTCAAGTTTTTTGCTCTACTAGTGGTTAATTACTGGCTTATCAAGATAACTTTTTTGCCAAGATTATATAGATGTGTGTGTATATGTGTGTGTATGTATACATACATATATGTGTGTGTGCGCATGTCTAACTAGTCAGGAGAGGAGTGTTTCTGGAGGAGCAGTAATTATAAAAACATGGCGAGTATCATGTTCTGAGCTGTGTGTTAAAATTTGCTTCCCATTAAACCATATTGGCACTACAGTGAGCTGTACCTTTCCACATCATTAAAGTTTATCAGAATATGTGATATAGTGTAATAAAAATAACTGCAAGGATTATGTCATTCTTTATTTGAAAAGCAAGCAAATATTCCTATGTTGCATAGGAAATAATGGTTCTGTCTTTGTATCCCAAACCTATACACGTAGCAGGAAGATGTGGAATTAAACATGAGGCAGACTTTATCTCGTAAAATACTGTAGAAATCATTAATAGCTGCATAAAAGAAATATAAATAATCTCTTTGCACACAGTTTCTTATGGGCTCATAATCCTTCTAAAGATGTTGGCTTTTTGTCAGGAAAAGCTGCTCACCTCGCCAAAAAAGAATTAATGCCTGATGTATGTACAAAGGATTCTAAGGTGACGTATAGTTCTCTAGAGCTGCTGCCTCTAGCAGGAGTGTTTCTCAAACTGTGGGTATTGCCAGTGATCAGTTGTTATCTCTGAGCACTTTCTTCGATCGGGACTTGTCTCTTGCACTCTAAGATGTCAAGGCTGTATATTAGCTTTTAAAACAAAGAGTAAGATTATCTGGCCTGTTTTAGGTCTCTCAAGTTACACTGTCTCAAACTAAGTCTCTACTATAGGTTATTACTTACTAGGTAGAGAGAAATATCTTGGATATGAAGCACTTACAGAGGGAGGAAAAAATAAAAAAGAAACCAGACGGAAGGGTTTCAGAAGACTTTCTCTGAAGAAGTCTGCTTCTGTCCATTAATTGAAAAATTAGCTGAACTCCACCTTACTTTTCTTTCTTCTTTCTGGACGATGGTGGTGCCATTAATGGAACGAGCAGTGAATTAACTAGAATTGCACGATACTTGTGCTGGATAGACTTTTTTAGTCAAAGGAAGTTCATTCTCAAGTTAGCCTGGTATTAAAGAAGCTATTGAAAACATTAAGACTTGTTGTTGGGTATTAGGAATGAAATAACAGCAGAATAGGCAGACAACTCATTAAAAGGGCTGTTGAGGCTCTGTGTGTGTTTAGCATGAACTGGAAGCCATGCTAAAAGAAATTACATTTCCAGTTTATTAACTTGGGAAGAAAAATTCTGTTCTCTTGCCAGGAACAACTATACGTTTTCATGGATTTTTCTTTACTATGATAAGGAATAACTAGTTTTAATGGCAATCTTTTTGAGAACTAGTTTTGAGAGATTTGAATTTTAATAGGAATGCAGCTACTATGAGATTTTGAGATGTCTTTGGTTCCTATTTATTTTAAATTTTTATGAATGACTGTATCTGCTGGAAAGTGATTTGATATTATATACCACTTCATGATGCCACTTGTTCGCCAAGTTGATCAACAAATGCATTTGCTTTCCCCTGTTTCTTAGAGGAATTCAATGACCGAATTTTGCGACCAGAACTATCAGATACTGAGAAGATGGCTCTTCATGAGGAAGTACAGAAAATTTACAAAACTTATTGTTTGGACGAAAGCATTGACAAAATTAGATTTGATCCTTTCATAGTAGAAGAGATTCAAAGAAGTAAGTGTGAGATTGAAAGGAATAATTTGCACTGAAACTAGAAAACATTCTGTAATGATTAAGGTGAAAGCTGGTTTATCTAAAGAGTGATCAATTCTTTCTTTCGTCATGCTTTTTAAAATGTATTACCACTCTGCTATGTTATGCTTAAGCCTTGTTTTGTCAGTATTTTTGTATTTTAAACAAGTCTGTCAGACTTGCATTAGCTTGCAAAGCAAACAAAAACTCGATCTAGAAAAAAACAGCTAACATAATTTATATTGACAAAATTTTTGTAGTTGCTGAAGGTCCATATGTGGATGTTGTGAAACTTCAAACTATGAGATGTCTTTTTGAAGCTTATGAGCACGTTCTTTCTCTCCTTGAGAATGTTTTTACTCCCATGTTTTGTCACAGTGATGAGGTAAGTGTGAAAGATTTGAAGACTAGTCTTAAAGCAAGATTATATTTTTTAAGAAAATACTCTATTTACAGCATGTGCGTGTGAAACTGAAAAGCATATCTTCATTTTCCACTTTTGTTAACACTGCAAAGCCAGGACAAATCTCAGTAGGAAAATTATGTTTCTTCTGGCTGGACATATAATCAATAGAGTAAAAAGAAAAAGATTCTTCATTTTCTGATGTAATAGTTAACGTATTATAGCACTGCTGTTGCAAAAGGCTCCCTTCTTCTTATAATTGCATATTTGATTGCAGAAGTAATCTGCATGATATACATGAGACTGTGTTAAGACTCTATTTATTTACTTTTCAAAATATAATGATACTTAAGTAAAAACTTTGAACTTTTTAGGTGTCTTTATTAAACATTTCAGCTGCTAAAAGTCAGTTGTCTATTTTCAGGAAGGTCATTCAAAGCAATTTATTAGGCAAACAATGATTAGTGTTCTATGATTAGTGGAGCAAACTGGATTCTGAAAATAAGTTAAAATTCCCCGTGCCAAGCAGACAGCTGCCTAAAGCTTTCCCACAGAAAACGTTTAAGCACGGGGGTGAGTCTGAATTCTTGTCCCTTTTAGAGTTTGTGTGTATAAATCAGGCTGCATGTTAGGCTCCCCACAGTTATTTAAGCCAGAATATATTGACTTGTCCTAGGACTGGGGTGCTTACCTCGAGTGTAATACTTCAAACACGTGATATTTAACGAGGAAGAGACATGGATTATGGGGCTTAATTTTAGTTTTATTTCTGTATTGATTTTTGTCTTTTAATCCCAAGTTATTTAATATAAGATAGCTAGTCCTAGGAGCATGTATTGTAATCTTGGTGTGTTCTTTTCCAGATGAATATCCTAATTGCCAGGTTAAAGTCAGCTTGCCTTTTACTTACTTCCGTTCTTGTTTCCTGAATTCTGTAATGTTGTTGCATAGTGGCTCTTGCCTCAGTAGGCCAGTGTTTTCTTTGATACTTCCTCTTGTGTCTCCCTGTAGTACTTCAGGCACCTTTTAAGAGGAGCAGAGTCACCAACACGGAATTCAAAGTTTAACAGGTATGTTTGGCAGAATCTTTATATTTTTTCTGTTTGCTTTTTGGTTGAAAGTTTCAAAATATTAAGCCATAAATGTTTTGTTACTACCTGATAATAATTTGGCTACCTTTTTAGCTATACTTTTTTTAAATAGAAAAATTACTTGCTAGAGAAGCAAGCAATATTATAGAAGATGGTTCTTCACTTTGAAGTGCTTTACATAAAAGAATTTAAGATATGATTCAGACCTCAACGTTTGGGAAGAGAGAAGGGGAAAATGAATGTACGATGGCAACAACAAAAGATAACGTGGAAGTAATTTCCATGATTTCAAGTGACTATAAATATGAACACCATATTGCTGATGCAAAGCTGGGTCACCTTGGATTTCAAGTCTTACGGGAGTGGGTACAGTGTCCAACCTAACTAGCCTGGTAGTGCTATGGGATTCCCCTCTTGTTACAATGAGAAGGGTTTGCCTTTTCTCCTAGGTCAAATGTGTTTTCCCTTCCCCAGCTGCTCTTATTTATTGCACAAGTGTAGTGTCAGAACTGTCATCTCTTGGTTTGGGCTATATGCTTACAGACTGCCCTCAGGCTCCTAGGGCCTGCAGAGAAGGAGAAGACCAAATATCTCCTGAGGAGCAGAGAACAGGAGCAAATTTTAAGGTCTACAAACCAAACTGTTCCTGCAGCTCACACTGGGAAAATTGATACGGATATTAAAGACAATTTGCAGTTTTTGCTCTGTTCATATTAACAGAGAGGGAGCTAGAAAAAGATTACCTCTTCCTTCCCTCCCTTGTGCCAATGGAAAGCAACCAGTCTCTTGCAACTGGAGCCTCAAATGCTTGTTACTACCACTGGCTGTTGGACCGTTGGTGGTGGCCGTAGTAGGTGTTTGTCTTCGAAGAGTGAGGTTTCTGCTAGAACTCTTTTGAGACTAGAGCTATGTCAGAGTGGACCTGTTCCCATGTCAAACCAACAAAACAGATCCATCAGGTCCATTGTTTCATTTCAGTGGAAGCTGGACCCATTTGGTTCTCGTACAGGATAGCTATTCGTAAAACTGCTGAGCCTCTTAATTTTCAGAGCTCACTGAAAAACTGATAATTTAATTTTAGTAGATCCTGGACAGTTGGATGTCTTATCTGCCCCATCTAGTCATCCTAATATTTTTAATCTTGAGGAAGATGGGAGATGTTCCACTGCAGAAGTGGGGCGAGTAAGCTTAAGTTCTCACTTGGGGACGGTTATGACACATTCCTCTGGTGTTCCAGCAGCATCCTCAGCGTTAGTGAAAATGTATCTGTTTCACATTTTGGCGTGATTTGAATGCCTGAGTAGATACTGCAGTTTATGATATGAGATACCGTATGTGTCTGAAGTGGTGCCTCAGTGAATATTGCAGTAAAACAGAGGTCCTGTCTGAAAAGAGTTTGCTTTCAGCTTTGGAGTTTCCCTCTGTAAAACGTGCTATGGATGGTCACTGCCAGCAAAAAAGAGAGATTACTTATAGAATTATTCCAGATGTTACCCATATGCACACACCTCATCCTGCCTTCTCTCCCTTCTAGTATTAATTCCAATTGAGAGAAGTTACAGGCAGGGAGATCAGCTTTGTCTTCTGTATCTTTGATTTGATGCTTTACTGGGTTAGTGTGTGTGTGTGTGTACTGCATGGATACTGCTGATTAAAAGGTCTTTGAGATCAAGTAGTAGATACGAAGTCTCAGTGGAGTGTGCGTGGGCAATGTGCTGAAAGATTTCACTTATAATAAGGCCAGAACCTTTTCTTTATGGAGCATCTTCTGGAGAATACAGTGGGAAAGTACAAAGAGTTGTCTATCAGTGTTTAATTTCTGTTTTGAATCACTGTTTCTATTAACTGTACAAAACAATCTTAATTTTTGGTGTACTGATCAGGCAGATAATGTACTATGAAAACTACTAAGGTAATAGATGAGAAGTCCCAAGTATTTTTGGAGTCTTAAGAAGACACACTGGGAATAATATCCTGATAACTGAGCAGTGGTTGTAAAAAGTTTAACTCTGTAATTGGTATGTTTCACCTCATATTTAATGGAGATGGCCAATTAATACTTACTTTTTAAGTTCTAATTCTGGTGACTTCAATTTTGGGCATATGGAAGAGAGAACAAGAATTTTGTCTCTCATTTATTTGTTTATAATATATTATTTAAAGGCATGCTGTGTTTCAAGCCCAACAGGGAAAAAGAAAAGCCATTATATGGTATAATTTCCCAGACTTCTGGATGCCTATGTACCTGCCTTGCTTTTCTACACACCATGACCACATATAGAAATAGAAGCATTCTGGTTTCTCATCTTTGGAAGTGCAATAAAATTAGAACATTTTTCAAGTGAGGGCTCAAGTAGAAGGATACATTAACAGTTTAGGGAAGTGATTAGGAGTAAAACCCACAGAATTAAAAGTCTGTAAACAATTGTGTGCTATGTAATTGCTTTTATTTGTCAAGATCAGTTTCCATTCGCTGGGATATGTTTCCTGTTTTGCAGTTAACATGATTGAAGATGGTGCCTTAGATGCCTTCGAATCAGTTCCTGTTGTAAAATAAAATCTGAAATTTGAGAATTTAAATCCTGTAAGCTATTTGATGTATCGGTTTGTCCAGAGTTAAGTAGCTCCTGTGAACTGAAGACAAACCATGTGTATAGTGACTGTATTTATGTTAGTACATTTGAACATGCTTATTGGAATTAGCGGGTGATGGCTGAGGTATTGGGTCTATGACTCAAGTTATGCAGAATGTCAAAAATGGATGACAGTTCTTAAAATCTGTGAATTTTTTTTTAAGAGACCTCTAAATTCTGAGTTTATAGTAGTATTTTTTAACTGTATCTAATACAGAGACTTTTACTGTATAAAATAAGTCGACAGTCTTTAGTTCATTTGGTCAATATGAAGAAGACTCCTACATGAATTTTGAATACAAATTACAGAAAAAGTTTGCTACCAGCTTAGCACCGCAGTTGGCTTTAAGAACGGAAAACATTTTCTTTAAACTGGTAGCTGCTTGTGCTGAATGTCAGTGGACCCTTCAAAGTTTTAATGGCTGAGGTTTTTAAATCAGAGGAGACTGTGCCAATCAAAGGTGCAGGCACTGGTGCTTTTAGTAACTCTTGAATATTGACATTTCACTTTCTAGAATTTTAGGTCAGAAGCCTTTAATTGTACCAGTTTTTTGATTAATCTGTAGGGATGGTTGTAGGTTTTGCTTGGGATAGGTCTTTCAAGGTTGGAATTTCTTAATGTTATTTTTGCTCTGGGCTCTGAGGTAATTTATGTGCCTATTGTTGCAGAAGTAGCCTGAGTTTGGATGACTTTCGGTAAGTCAATCTAACACTCAATAAATGTTGTCTGTTAGCTAGATTGCATCTATCATGCCTACATCACACAGCCTTTATAACAGCAATTAACTGGCTGTTTTACTTTTAAGAACATGCAAATGTCTCCTGGATTAAATTGCATTTCTCCCCAAAATAAGCTTGCTCCTCATGTCTTCTGCACAAGTGTTTAGAAATTGCTTAGTTACTAATTTTCACAAGTTTGCCATATATTAATATTATTTGCTGTTAACTATTTGTCCATTATTAGTTTTGAAATACATCTGCATAACCTGAAGCATTTTTTGCCTGAGTGCTAGCTACTTTTTATTAGTTTTCCAAAATTGTATTTACTCCATAGCACGTTTCCAGATTTGAGGCTTCATACGCTTGACTACTTGTTTTATCTTGCATAGCTGTGTCCAATATGACCATTGCTTTGCATCGCATGCAAGTATAACTGGTTTATGAATGCTATAACAAACACTCAAAAAGGGGAATTCCTAAAATTTGTTCTCTGTGCAGCCTTGTGACCGTTGTAGTTTTGATTACAGCACATGCTTTTTTATAATTATCTTCTTCATTCGTGCTCTGGATAGTCTGTGATCGCTTAATCACTCATCAATACCTTAGTAGTTGTTCAATGGTGTGTATTTATTTGTGCCATATTAAACACTCAGTATCCAAACTCAGAAAACAATTCTTTCACCATGGGCTGTTCCGTAGAATTTGTCAGTAGAGCATCAGTGTCTCAAACGTGACTTGTACCATTCTTGACTTTTGAGGGAATATTAGCATCTCCATGTTACACACTAGGAATCAAGGTACAAACAAACTTTTTGTTTTATGTTTCAGTTTAATATACTGGGTTATAGCTTAATACAGTGTTAAGCAAGTGCAGTTTATTGATTTTTAGGTGCAGCTGTATGTGCTCACCATTTCTGCTCGTCGGGTGTAAGGGTTCCAAGTCAGCCTAAAGAAAATGATGCTCTGATTTCACGTGCTTGTAAAAATCCAGCTTGTCTGATGATATATACAAATTGTGAACAGCTGTAGGGGAGGAAAGAGAGGAGAAATACCAGATAGCAGCAGCTTCAGCTGCGTAACTCTGATCACTTCAGAAGGTCTATTCTGTGCACTAAACAAGGCAGGGATCCTGTGGGGAAATGATTTTGCAACCATCCACAATTAAAACAATGCCATGGTTCGCAGTGGCGCTAATGCAGTCTTTGTTCAGCAGTGCCTTGCTGTTGAGTGATTGGTGATTGTAATTTTTAGTGTTCTGCATGTGAGACTTCTGAAGTTTAAAAAAAAAAAAAATGGAAAAAACGTATTCCAACCTGTTGTCATCACATCATTCATCAGGATGTTGGAACCTGTAGATTCTCCACCCAGAGCCTGCCAAGAAAGCAGCTATAGAGTGATGTTCTGCTAATGCTGTTATGTGGGTCAGCACTAGAGGGAGCGGGAAACTTTTGCCAATGAGTTTCATATATATTTGCTGACAGTAGCAGAGTGATGAGACTTGGAAGACTCTGTTTCTGTTCCAGACCAGCCCCCTCCTCTCCTCTGACTTGACCTTTCCTTCCCTGTACCTTGTAGCTGAACATATCCTTGTCTTGTCTTTACCCTCCGCTTTTTATACTGATTGTTGTTCGTTTTTTGTTTTGCTGAGCTTCTTCAGCTTTGATCATCCTGTTGTGTATCTGTTTCTACGAACTTCCCAAAGCTTTTTCTATGCTCATCTAAGCTGGCTTGTGCTGTTTGTGCTTGTTCAAGGATTTCTGCCAGACCAGTCCCATATTCCCTCTGTAATTTGTCGTACATGTGTTTGTGCCCCCTCTTATTCACCTGTGCTCTTATTCTTAATTTTTATCTCCCTCGTTGTGAAGAGGATCCCCTCCTGTGTTTGTCAGTTTATTCCTTTTCCAATTTAGTAGTTACTCTGTATTCATTAGGCGTGTTCTTTGGGCCCAGAATTTGAGCAGTAGAGCAGGAGGTGGTGGTTCCTAGCAATTAGGTTAGATCCTGGCCCTATATAACTCAGTACTGTGGTACTTACTGGTGAAGCTGTATTTTGCCTCCAGCTAAAGCATGATTAGTACAAACAGAATTTTCAAAAATCTGAGACTGTTATACTCTGTCAAATCTGTAAGCTTGTACAAATTAATTTTTTTTTGAAATCTTGACAATTGTGCAAGCTTTCGCAGGAATGATGAAAACTTCTACAGAAGTCAAGCCAGTGTCCTCAGATATTAGTCTTTTAGAAAGCTGTCTAGCTTTGTCTGAGCACAGTTCATATTTTGCTAGCCCTATGTTTAAGCTCTGGACAAGGTTCAGATAGATATTCAACACAGAGGAAAGTTCAGCTGATGAAAATGTAGGAAAAGCTGTTTTAAAAAAAAACAGGTAAGATTGTTCGAATAAGGATTTATACTACAAAGGGTCAGGCAGAGTTATCTTTCATTAGTAGAGATAACAGAGATAGGAAAGATGGATGGTGCCTGTCTCTGCTTTGCAGCTGATGAATAAGGGGTAGAAAAGGCAAAAGATTTGGAAGAACAGTGGATTATTTATGCAATTTTAATTATATGTACACAGACTGGATAAAATTATAAACAGGAAGATTGTTTCCTCTAATAAACCCCTCCCACCTCCAATTTTGTGTCAGCAGTTGGTGATGTCAGCATGGTGGGGGATGAAGATGCTTTACTTGCTGGTCCCTCCTTTTCTATCTTCCTGAGTAGCTAAATGTAGTAGTTACCTTTTTTTTTTTTTTTTCCCAACTAAAAAAAAAAAAATCGATTCCGTTATGGAGGCGGGGGGGAGTAGTCCTCTAAAATTCTAATTGTCCTTTGGATCATAGTAATCTATCAGGTTCTTTGGAGTCTTTGGTTCTACAGTTCTTTATTGATTTTTTAACTTCCATATCAACTGTACTTATTGTATGACTGTAAGTAGCATCAGGTTAATTTTGTATTCAGTAGAAACATTTTTCTTTCTGGAATCTCTTCTGATTTTACATTTCTATGTAAGACGTTGTCTTCCCTGTCAGGTTTTGTATAAGGGCATAGGAATGCTAAAAGTTGTTTTCTCACTAATGAATGCACTTCCTGCCCAAATTTTCTTTCTTTTACTTTAACTTGACGCTTTTATCATAAGTTGCTCTGTTTCTTAACAATACCTTAAAACATTTGGATCTTTCAGGGAGACTGACTCTTTCAGCCAAGATTCTTCAATCATGTCTGTTTTCTCTCATGCTCAGTCTTGCTCCTTGCACATTCCTTTCGTCTGTCCTTAATGTTTGCATGTATCTTGCATCATACATGCTTATAAAATTCTGGGATGTTTATGAAAAAAAAATACGTTTAAGTACAAAACTTCTGGTGTTTGGCAACAGTGGATAAATGTTTAAATACAAGAGTACATGGAAAGGGACGGAGTTAGCTTAGTGATCTTCTCAATGTGTGTGCCTGTGACAGTTTCTGCTGTCAAAACAAAATTGTTTTGCCTAGTTCATTGTTTATTCTATGTCCTGCGTTACTGTAACAATAAGAGTGTTAGTGTTAACTCACGGGTAAGCTTACGGTAATGTCCTGTCTTTTATAAGAGTACTCAAGATACTGCTGGTCAATAAAAGGACAAACAAATTTGCCATAAATTTTAACTTAAGTGGAATTGTAAATATGTCAGCTACTTGTTTATGCAGTTGTTTCTCTTATCTGCAAATTATGTGCAATGACTTACTGGAGCTGCTGTATAATATGCTTTGTACTGTAAACTTGGGCTTCCATAATTTTAGGACTACGCAGAAAAGAGGAGAATCGTTTGGAATCAGCAGAATAGGCAACAAAATAAAAGGTGTTTTCAAGAGTTCTGCAATGGAAGGAGCTATGCTGCCTAACTATAACTTAAATGAAGGAGAAGATGATTTTGTGAGTAAAAATTTTACATAGGTCTTTAAATCTTGGTTTTTGTTATTTCATTCCTTATTAAGTTCCTGCATGTTTTACTGCCTTATTTCACTGCGGGGATTCTGTGTGTCAGCTTCCAATTAAATTGCCTTGTTTTCCCTGCATGCATTCATTCATAAGCCCCGGCCGCATCCCCCAGTCAGTGTACCTCTGAGCTTATAGCTTGAGCAGGGAGAAATTTTAAAAGTAGTGCCTTCCTTAGAAAAGTGGTTCTGTCAGATGTTTCTGTAGCAATTAATTACTTCTGTAAGCAATTAATTAATTAATTTTGCTCTGTAAAAATTTGCATTGTCTCTTTATAATTCTAGATACTAGTCTATTCTCTTAGAAGTAGTGTTCTCTTAAAAGTTCTCTTCCAAAGCTAGATTATTTATCTATCTTTATTTCTTCCAGAGCATCCCTCATGAGTATATAAAGCACTTGATATAAGGTTCCAGTTCCACTGTTCATTCAGTGCAGAAAATTTGATCTGACACTAAACTGAGTAGAAACTGAAATATCTTTTTATACAGTATTTGAGTTGATGAGGCTGACTCCCTCCTCCCGCCAAAGCAGAACTATTTTGCTGCTGAATAGAAAATGCAAAATTTGTTTATCCGTTTTCACTAACATATTACCTTTTTTTGTAACCGGAATTGTTTTTAATTGTGGGATAAGAATAAGGAGCACCATAAAAAGCGCTAGAAGCGCAGCAGACAGAAGTTAGTCATTGTGGATTAATTAGGTGAAATCTTTGGAGAAAAGAAATCGAAATCTTAATTTTTTGAGCAGGGAAACTAATATGTCATCCCTGCTATTCAGAGTTGTCAGTTCAGTGGACTCAAGCTTCTATATTTCACCTAAGTCAAATATAGAAGTCTGCCCTAACAGTCTGCCCTGACTTGTTCTGAAACTAGCCTTTCTTACATTTTACAGGGAGGTTCTTTTATTAAACACCTAATTCTGAGTAAGTCTTGCAAAATGGACTACCTAAGTATTCACATGTGTGTCGTTATTTGACCTCACATAAAAAAGTATCTAAGAAAATTTCTCAAAACTGTTTGAAGATCTACTGATATCCTGAACATATTTCTGTTGCCATTTGTCACCGAGTAATAAGGTAGCAGAGATTTCTTGTTATATACTCTTTGATGTACTTACTGAAGCAGTTGTGCTAGAGCTGTCAGAAGGAACATGTTTTTGTGCTAGAGCTATTGTGGGAAGTTACCAAATTCGGTGAGAGAGATGGACGATAAATGGGCCAGAGTCTAATACTAAGAAAAGATTTCCTATTGACAGAATGGTCTTAGCTCAGGCAAAAATGGAAAGTTTTAATTTCCACATGGCCTCACATTCCTGTATTAAATGAATTCAGGAGAAGGAAGACACTACATTTATCCTCAAGGCATTTTAGACAAAGACTGGGAAATACCAGAGTCCCTTCAGTTGGTAGCTGTGGATGGAAAGAAGAGGGAGAAGAAAACACTAAATTGTTGTTAAGTTTACTATTCCCAAACAGTCCATATGCAGGACAACTACACATTTTCTTTTAAGATTTGTGTATTGGAAGCTAAAAAAGAATTACAAGAACAGATGGATGCCTTTAAAGTGAATGTAAGGACAGAAAACCCAACGTTTCTGGTTTAAAAATGGTAGTTGTAATATTAGGTAAGGATGAGGTAGTTTGTTATCAGTAATTGATTTGCATGATCACTTGACTCAACATCAGCATGAAATAAGCATTAGTATGGAGAGCAACCTTCTGACAACCTTCCTGATATTGGGGGAATATTGAAAGAATTTCACTGTACTGACTGTCAAGCAATTGCCAGACAAATGCCAAATTTAAAAGCCTCGGTAATGACTTAAGGCAGGTTGCCAGTAACCATAAAAGTGAGCTGCTGAAGACAGAAGGATTGATTGCTGAAGAGGAACTGAGTGCTATGCTTTTTTTTTTTTTTTTTCCCTTTTTTGACAGTCATGTTAGTTACAGGTAGAGCCCTTAGGAAAAAATCCACTTAGTCTGAGGAAACCACATAGGGGTATAAAACTGTTAGCAGCTTTCTGTGGCTCTGGGAAACAGCTTTGTAAGCTGCTAACATGATAATAGTAGTTCCATAAAACCAGACTCAGTCTTTGTCAGCTAAATTTAAATAGAGCTAAAAATAATCTCTATATTAAACACAGGGATTCATCCTAGGGTGTCAAGAAGACCTGTAGACTTGGATTTGTGGCTTTACGGTTAGATGGGTAAAACAAGCAGAAAGAGAGTAAGGCAACTCATAACTGTTACAGGTTATTTTAGAAAGAGGATTAAATCCGTGCTGCCTGCCCCCCCCCCCAAAAAAAAAAAAAAAAAAAATCATGCTTCCTGGCCTACAGTTAGTGTAAGCACTCTGGTAGGCACCTGGTAGGCACATTGGAAATGCCCGACAATTTGCATAGAATTGTTACCAAAAACAGCTGGGCTAGAAGCCAGGCGAGGGATCTGGAGAAAAGAGGTTTGTGTATGTGAAAACTTGCTGCTGATTTAATGCAACCCTCAGAAGGGCCAAGTGAACAAGATGGACAGTGAGGTTAGGGCTCCTTTGCAAGCAGTTCAGAACAATGCTGACCTGCATCTGCTCTAAATCCTCATGCTAACACTTTGCAGTACTACGGGTGTAATCACTGTGTCAACCAATAGGATAGTCCAATGTGTGAAACTAAATAAATACTAGGAATGCAATCTGCAAGCAATGGTGAAATGAATGAAGAAAGGAATTAGCAAATGTAGGCAAGAGATGAGTTTTGAGGAAGTCAGGCCTAAGCGTTTAGTTCTGTCAAAAACTCTAGAATCAGGTAAGTCTAAGTACTTGTAGAATGATCTTATAACCTTGCAAGGAGGTTCCAGTGGAGATTGTATGTTTACTGTTAATGCAAATATACAAATAATTCATCCTGACATTATTTCATCATTCTAATTTCTCATAAGGTAGAGGAGTGAGTGTAAATCATACTCAGTTCATACTGCCCAGTCCTGCAGAAACTAAACTATTTAATTGGATTTGCTATTCTGAAACATTGTTCTGCTGTTTTTAACCAGCTGTGACAACCACTTGTTGTGGGAGAGGAGGAAAATATGTAAGACCCCATACAGAATACCTTGTAGATGTAAAGCTACCTCACAATCTTCTTGTTGCCCTTCAGAGAGCATATGTCCCATTTATTCTGGTCTGTGGTATAAGCTAGTCCTGCAGTTTGTAAACCCTCATTGTTAATTTCAGGCTTGGTTTATTTTTGGCTGCTTTATGAAAGCAGCACAAACTGTGAAACCTCTTAGCTGAGTGTGACCTCTGTGGATTCGCCATTGAGATTGCTCTTTGGCTGTCACAATTTCTCTTTTCATTGAGCAAATTGGGTAGATGGAAGCAAAAAAGTGTTTTGAAAAGAAGGGATTCAGTTAGTGGATCTACAGAAATCTATTTTGAAAGACAGTGGTCCACGTTGTAATCAGTTTGAGGATCATTTCAGTATTATGTGAAGGCAAAGCTTAAAACTGAACAAAGATTACTCGTGTGTGTTGAACCATTCATGCTTTAGCTGCAGTTGAGTCATGACCATGTGAATGTTACAGTGCAGACAAAGCCAAAATGCATTTGTTCGTATGTGAGGAGCCAGATCTGCAACTTCTGAAGTTTTTTTCAGGAATGCTGTGTTGCCTTAATATGTTAGATTATCCCAATACATGGAAAACTTGTTAAGCCATTGGGACTTGGCCTTTGAGAGGAATTTGACTTTAAATGACAAAGCTAAGGGGAAATGACTTGAAAGTTGGATTCATGCTTTTCAGTTTTCTTTGGTTTGAGAGGTACTCCTCGTGTTATAAATTCTGCATTAAAATCTCCTATTTTAATTTTAACCAATGGCAACATTTTCAAACGTGTGGACGTGTATGAGACTTACTGAAATAATTTACTTTTCAATTGTTGTATGCACTTTATTGCAACTATTATCTCAACATAAATCTCAGTTCTGTAAATTACACTGAGAAGAGCTAGGTGCTGATTTCAGCCACAGTCTGTGCAGGCTGGTGGCAGCTAAGAGTGGTAGCAGAATGATGGACCTCTGTGGAGCTCCGAGTCAGGCTCAGCGGTTTGTCTCCCATCCAGCAGGTCAAATGGCAGGACCTGCCTTCCAGCAGGGTTGCTAGATTTTAGAAGCTATTGCTGACAGACGGCAGACTAGATTGGATTCAAACAATTTGAGTTTTATAAGGAAATATAACTGCCTTATTTTTTCTCCCAAACCTACTTCCTATGCTTGTGAAGAAACAAGAATTTTTTTCCCCCTGGTAGTTTTAACTACGGCTAACCTCACACACTCTCCTTTCTGCTTTACTTTTGTCTCTTATTCAAGTCTAAGACCACCCCAGCCTTCCTTCTCACAGTCGCTCTATCTTCATTAGTAAAAATCATTTTAATTCTTCAGACTACTTTTTTATTATTCTCTGTTCTGTGTGGTGAAGATGAGATTCAGGTTAACTATTGTTTGGAGAAATAAATAGCTTTTCAGGATTAGCTGTTTAAGGGTGGATTTTTCAGTTCAGATATATGAGATAATTTTTCTGTTTATGATCCTAAAAGATGTGAACTTTCTGTCATTCTCTCGGACCTGAGAATTCAGTATGCCGTGTGGTAGTTTGACGCATTATCTGTGGACAGCTTAACCCATTTGTAATAGCAGTATCATGGACATAGTGTATGTCAATTTGGCACTGAGAATCCTGTTCAAAACTTAAAGAATTTCTTCAGTGCTGATATGGCACTGGTTCCGAGGTCAGCCTGGGAATGGAAAAACTAGCATTACATTTTATGGCGTGGAATATGTTTATGAACTCAGTGCATTAGAGCTGCCCTGCACACAGCCAACAAGGATTAAATCTACATTGTTCCATGTTCTGTTTCTGAGAGCGTGATGCTACAACAGGAACTGATGTTTATGATTACTTTGCTTCAGACCAGAGCTAGCTTTAAGGAATTATTAGTCCCAATCCTGGCTGTGTTGCATCTTGCAGATAAGTCAATTACATGTCTCTACAATGCCCTGCATTGCAATCAGCTCCGAGGTGAGAGACCTGTTAGCTTGGTACGCTGTTGGCCTCTGTTTCGATGTGCTCAGAGAGATGTGCCTGGTCTGGTAAGCTCACATCTTCAGTCTTGTCCGAGTATGCTGGACAATGCAGTGTAGCTAGGTCTATGCTAGATCCAAGCTGGCTACCTACAGGAGCCACTCAGGTAGTCTGTGTGGAAGGCAGTGTCCGTGTATGTCTTACAATACTTTTGTCTTTATATCTTTTTTTTTTCTTTTTCTCTCCATTCTGAAGTATCAGATGTGGAAGTTGATTGTGCTATATATTTTTTCTACGTTTCATTAAAAGTTGCTAGCTCCAAATTAGTCTGCAGTAGATCTAAAACTGGTAGTTTTTCATCTCATTTCTCCATTAAGAAAAAATTTTATTTTCTACTCGGTAATGTTGAACACATACTTCATTTACAAAAACTTATATTTCATTATTAGAGGTATGATTTGCAAAGGTAGACTGAAGCAATTGAAAATAGAACTGTAGATCTTGATGTTTGAATCTTTACAGATTGAGGAAGGCGTTATGGTAATGGAAGATGATTCTCCTGAGGAGGCTGTTAGTACCCCAAATACACCCCGCAACCTTGCTGCATGGAAAATCAGCATCCCGTATGTAGACTTCTTTGAAGATCCTTCCTTGGAAAGAAAAGACAGAAAGGAGAGAATTCCTGTATTCTGTATTGATGTAGAAAGAAATGACAGAAGGGCAGGTATGCAGCATTGTGGATTAATAAAATGACATTTTCAAATGAGCACAAAATTCATTCTCATATGCTGTATTCTGTTGGTTGTTTCAGTGTGTTGTGCATGCGTATTTTTCTGATTTTGAAATAATGAGTTAAAATTCTGAGGAAATGTGTTTAAAATGTATTATTTGCAACTGGAGAATGACTTTTCAAAATGAATCAGTTCCATTTAAACTTCACGCCAAAGCTTGAGCATTTCCTTCTTTCCAGGAAAAAAAAAAAAGATCCTATGACTCACATTAATGAACGTCTGGGCTATTTTTCATTCACCTACTTAGAACAGCATTTCAGTTTCAAAAATGTAGTCATATACATAATGCAGTGAGTAGTGAATACATTTTAGGTATGTAATTAGGCATGCAAAAATTTCCTGATTTGGAACAATATCAACTAAAAAGCCTTTTCTGCAACCTTAAAGTATACTACTTGTACAAATTAAAATGCTTTGGTGATTAAGAAACATTCTGGCTTGCAGATAGTTTATCAGTGTCTAGATAGCATTGCATCCATACTGAGTGGAAAGAATAACATCATCCTAGGTCTGCATTGAATTATGTTAGCGAAACTAATACTTCCACAGTGAGCAGAAAGTCTTTAAGGGTTATTTAGTGATATATTTCAGGAAGAAGAATGATCAAGGTTCAAGCTGATGGTGCAAGGGGCTGTTTTCAACAGTAATATTTCTGTAGCTTACTGGTTAAATGTTTGAAAAGAGATGTAGCCTAGTCATCCCTAATGAATTTTGAAGTCATGCAGTGGTCCGTTGCTTAGAATTTAGGGATCCACTAAAGGAGATGATAATTTCCTTGCTGATGCCAATTTTTTTCTTCTTCACATTAACATGTTTTCGCTGTTGTATTTCCACCTCCCCTCCCCCTAGTTGGTCATGAACCCGAACACTGGTCTGTCTACAGAAGATACCTTGAATTTTATGTGCTTGAGTCAAAGCTAACGGAATTTCATGGTATGTTCCCCATTTTCTGGAAAACCGCTTTCTCATTGCTGAGACTACCTTTCAGCACTGAGCTGAAATGTAAAATAATGAAAACAGTGTCTGTCTTCTTTCAAGAATAATTTAATCTGCTTGATATCTTTATTAGGTACGTTTCCTGATGCACAGCTTCCTTCAAAGAGAATCATTGGCCCCAAGAACTATGAGTTCTTAAAATCCAAGAGAGAGGAGTTTCAGGAATATCTGCAGGTATGAAACAAACTTGTGGAGGGGAGAATATTAATAAAACTAGTGCTATTAATAGAACTAATGATGCAAAGCTAATAAATGAATATCTTAAGTTTTTTGTTTCCAAGGAACTTGAAGGATTATAAAAGTGGTTCTTGTAGACATGAAACTTGTGGTTAGCATTTCACATGACTGAAAACTGGTAAATATTTTGTAAATGACACTTATCTCTAGAGTAACATAATGCTTTTTAAACATCTCTTGTTGCTATAGAGAAACTGATTTTAAAGATTGTTTTTAAGGTACTTATACTTCTCTTTCTTTCCTTGTACCTCAAAGAAACTTCTGCAACACCCAGAACTAAGTAACAGCCAGCTTTTAGCTGACTTCCTGTCTCCTAATGGAGGAGAGACCCAGTTTCTTGATAAAATGTTGCCTGATGTGAATCTTGGTATGTAATATGCTACTTTGTGCAACAAATAGTATTGCTGTAGATACTGTGATTGAATGATAGTGGTAATGTAGAGATGGACTCTTGTGTAAGGATCTGGATGTAGGAAATAAGAACACTGCTCCTTCCAGCTGTTAAAATCATAGCTCAAGGAGCAAGATAGGCTACTTTTTCCTTGAAGGAAAAGCACATTTTGAGATGATGAGAGGAAAAAGTATTTAAGTGGTTGCTTTTGAACCTGTGTGTCAGCAAACAAGGCAATAAGATTTCTCTACCAAATTTTATGGTTCAAGAAGATTTATGGCATTGTTACAAGGCCAGTCTGGAGCCAGTCATTGTTTACAGCTGTCTTTTTTTTTTTTTTTAAATACTAATGATTCAGACTGTCTTAATTTAATCTACCTTTGGGAGTTAGTTGATTAAAAATCTGTTTAACTTAATCTGAAAATTGCAGTATTTAATATTTTTAACTTTAACTAGCGTTAAGACCTCTTTTAACGTGAGCTACTTTACAGAATTTGAGACAGCTATGTATGTGATACATACAGGCCAAATGGACCTGTTAAGAAAACAGAACTGAGAAGTTCTTGAGGTCGAATGCCAAACTTGCTGGTTAATCTTAAAAAGTGGACTGCAGTGTGAGTCTGGAGTTTGGCTATGAGTGTAGCTTTCACATGACTGTGTGCCAGAGCTGACAGTGTCTACCTCATGGCAGTTCTGTCATGATGTAGTTACAGCACCTGTGGTTCTGGCACTGGTCCCGGAAAGCTGTTTCTGAACTAGGCCATTGTGTTTGTGGTTCTCTTGGTCGTTGGGTAAACTTGGTAGGGTGGTCGTTCTGTTAGTAAGCTAGCAAATTGTTGAATGGAATTTCTGTGGTCATCCTCCAGTTACAGGGTTTTGTTTTGTATCAAACAAAGACCGCCCCTGTTGGTGCAACTACACGCTGTTCAAACCAGCTGATATAGCTAGGGCAATTATGGGAAGGCATTTCATATCTGACACTATGCTAGAGAACCAATGCTTCCCTCCCTTCCCATACAGGTCATTGTAGTAAGTCTCAACATTTCAGAAGGACTTTTTGTGAGAATGAATAATTTTATTATTATAATTTGATCATTCCTATGTCTTTACTTTCCTATGTAAGTTCCAAATTTGCTGTTTACATGTGGGTAGGAAAAACATTACTGTAACTGTAGTAATTAAAATGTGACTAAGCCTGGACCCTCTTACTCTTCAACATTCAAAGTTACTATGTCATATTTTGATAGCCTAATCAGCACAGAAGAAATGCTTTTTAGAACCATAGCTGTAGCCTGTCCAATTTGTAAATCTTTGCTCACCAGTATTTTCAAGACACTATGATTCTGGAGTCTCTCCAGACTAGCTGATCTCTTCAGGGCAAGAGGAGAATCTGAATTTTTGTGGCTGCTTCTATGATAAATGTTTATAAAGTATGAGTTGAGTAGATACTGAGGAAACTGTGCCTGTGCTGGTGCCTATAATTGAAAATAATCATTATCTTGGGTGACAATATGTTTAAGCCTGAGCGTGTTGCTCTGCTTGCATCTCCTCTCTGCTTACATCTCCTTTGGTAACTTGTCTCCCTCTCTCTAAGATGCCTCTCAGAATACCTTACTTAAACACCAGTGCTATCCGGTTGTACAAAAGGAGATATAGCTATTATCATTAAGCCTGTAGAAAAATATTAAAGGCACATCTAGAGTGCTTTGTTTTTTGTTTTTTGGTTTTTTTTAAGTAATCAGATAATCATCTGTATAGTTTTCGTATTTTAAGCATCTTTCCTTGCAAAGTACAAAGCAGTCAGTTACCTATAAGCTCAATATGTGGAAAACTTTTATTTTCATAGTTTCAAATGCCAGCTTAAAGCTGCAATATTTTTTAAACAATTGCATTATTTTAAATGAAGTACTAGACAATAAGCACACAAAACGTGGCAAAGCGAAAAGCCTTTTGTGTATTGTAGCTTAGTAATTAGTCATGACGTGTTGCTGCTGTATTAAGAAGTCTCAACAAATATTTATAAAGTTTTATACAGAGTCCTTGCTCTAAAGAGCTTGCAGTCTGAATGGACAACATGAAGGATGTAAAAACAGAAGAAAGACGGGAAGAGTTATTAGCTGGGCTATCTTAAATATCGGGCAGTAATAACAGAAGGGCCTTTTTTGTTCTTAATTATAGGTAAAATTATAAAATCTGTTCCAGGAAAGCTGATTAAAGAGGTGAGTAGGTTTTCGAGGTTGCCAACTTCTTAATTTCAATGGCTACTTTTACTGGCTTGTTAACTTGCAGGCTAGTCAAAAATTTGTTTGGAAACTGAGTTATATGGGGGGATTTCCCCTCCACCCTGCCCCGTAATTATATAACTGGCAGATCGGTCACTCTGTATGTTATTTCAGAAAGGTCAGCATTTGGAGCCATTCATCATGAACTTCATCAATTCCTGTGAATCTCCAAAGCCTAAACCAAGTAGGCCAGAACTTACCATTCTCAGTCCAACTTCTGAAAACAACAAGAAGGTACAGTAAATCTTCCTTCTTCACTTTACAGAAGTGGAGAAAATTGACCTTAATCTGAAAATGCAAGGAATAAAATTGAAAAAGCCATAAATAGAACAGCTTAACTATTTTTGTGTTATAGTCTCATACAAGAGAGAGAATGGTGGTGCAGAGAGCTTTCCCATTTTCTTGTGTACATGTTAGAGTAAATGATTTTTCTGAGTGTTTGGTTTTTTGTTTTTTTTTTTTTAATTCTGATTGGATTTGGAGGTGAGCAAATGGAATACAGAGCCTGGGAAATACTGAGAGAAGAAGAGGGAAAGCAAAGATGTAAAATGGGGAATGTTTTCATACCTTAAGGTAGCTTCCTTTCTGAAGAACTTTAGTGTTTAAAAGAGTTGTCGAAGTGCTACAAGCCAATATTGTCAAAATGGTGGTACTTATTTATCTGCCTTTAATGAAATGTTTATGTACAGTTCAGTGATGCCTGTTTTGCATAGTAGGTCTTAACTGCAGTTGCCCTCTCTGGCAGTGTTACAGCTAAAGCCCAGTGCTTCCATTCCGACTCTTTACCTTGTTTTAAGAAAAGGTAGTTCCCTTCTTAATACACCTGCATTTGTGCCTAGACTTCCATTAGCTTCAGGGCCTTTGACAAGAGATTAGTCTTTTAATTTCTTTGTTAGACTGCTTTAGAGCATTAATGTGTTTGTAGAATTTACTGAGCAACACTAATGTTCCTGGACCAGGATTTTGGAGATCCAGTTTCCTTTTATTTCCCTGTTACAGAATTAGTGTGATTTTGGACAGATCATTTAACTCATGTACACTTGGCCTATAATATGTTGTAAAAGAACACTGAGTGTGATACACTTTTCTACTATGTCATTTGTTTTGGGAAGAGGAGTTGAAAGTAGACTAAGTCAGCTAGGACATGTCAATCTGAAAAGTGATAACTCAGGGGTATGTGTGGTCACAGTCTAAAGAATAATGCGTGGCGTGAGGACAAGGGAATAAAGATTATTTCCTGTCTTTTCCAGTGCAAGAACTGAGGGACGCTAAATGAAGCTGGCAGGAGCCAGGTTCAAAACAAACAAAAGGTTGGGAGTTATTGTAATGGTTAGTAGATCTGTGGAACTCCTTGCCAAAAGATGACATGAATACTAGAAATTTAAACAACTGTAACATGAGACTGGACAAATTCACAAAAAGGAAATATATTCAGAGTGAATGCCTGCAGAGAAACTGCATCCAGCTCTTGAATTCTCTTGAGTTGAAAGTAGCTGGAGACTGGGCAAGTATTAGTGGAAAGTATCTCATGTGCTCGCTCTCTTCTTGCTCTTACCCCAGCATCCATTTAGAGTTCTTGTTGGTGGTGGGCAATTGAAAAAATAGATCTCTCTATCTCCACCAGTATGGCCGTTTTTATAGTAGTAAGACGTTTACCAAATTTGCAAATGCAAAGCTTTTATGCTGATCAAGTACAATGGCAGGTAGATATATTAATTAGATTAGATTTCATGTTCTAAACCTGAAATGTAAATTACAGCAGCCAGTATTGTAGTGCTAGTTCACCTGCATGCATGCATGTGCACACACAAAATTAGTAGACTTCATTTCAAGTCCTTTCTTGTGTTGGACAGTATTTTCCGAAGTTAAAATACTTTGCTATTACTGTCAATTCAGTGAGGTATCAGTTTATCAGTTTTAAAAGTCAGTTTTAGAGTTTAGACTTGAGGAACAGTACCTGCATAGTTCTTCACATGTTTTTTTATAAAGCAGCAGACAGCTACAGCATAGTGTGAACAGTCAGTTAATTTTCTACTGTACTTACAGTCTCCCAAGAAGAACTAATTTTAATACATTTAACGTACTTAAAGAAAATGTTTAAGCAACAAGTTCTTCACTTTGAAAAGTTCCTATGAAGACAGAGGTTTTTTGTGTTGTTTGCTTGAAAGACTTTTTTAAAAGATAAAAATAATTGTTTAAAGTGGTGTTCCAAACCCTTTTGGATTTGTAGAAGCTTAAAAAAATGATATTGCATTGCTCAATTAAAATATAAACTCATTTTCTAAGTGTCAGTATGTTATTCTCATAAAGAACACAGACAGAAATTCCAGCTCTGAAATGAGGTCTTGCCAATTCTTTCCAGCCTTGGTGATCGCAGGAAAGAAAACAACTGTCCACGTTGCAGTTTTCACTTTGGAATTCTGAGGTTTCTTTTGACTGAACTTAGATCTCTGCTGGCTTGGCTTGTGTTTTCTGTACCTCATTTTCAGAAATAGTCTTGTGGGGGATACTCCTAATCACCACTGAGTGACTGTGCGAGTATGCACTCCAGTGGAGACATACAGTTTGGAGACATGGGTTTGCACGGTTTGAGTTAGGCATATTACTGACAATGTTTAACAACCCTGTGGTATGTGCTTATGTCATGCGACATGTGTTTTTGTGCAGAGGACAAAAAGATGAGACTAGCCATAGCTCATATATTCCTTCTCACTGACCATTGCAAGAGTTGCAGTTGACTATTTTTCTAAGCAATTTTATTCTAGTTATCTGTTATATGAATAACTAATTGGTTCTCTGTGTAGTTTAGATTTCTTAAAAGAAATCGTTGTTTATTTTGGGACCTATTTGGTGTAAATACAAGGAAAGCTTCAGCTTTTAGTATACCTCCTACAGAACTATGATTATTATTTAATGATAAGACTCAAGACACTTTGATGAAGGATGCTGGAAGACAGTGCTATGCTCAGATACTCTTTAGGCTCTAATTACACTATACATTTTGACCAGCAGTGTCATGTATGTACAAGGCATTGAGGTGCTGACTGCTTGCCCATCTAGTTTCAAATGCCTTACCATTTCAGTTCAAATCAGGGGTGCGTTTTGGAAGCATATCTCCTGATCATCTCCACTTACCTCTTGATTCACAACAGGGAGCCATCCTGGCACTCGTGAACTGAGTTTCTTTCAGATAAAACCAAAAGGGAAAACGTCTCTAGGAATGCAGGTGCTAAGCGGTGTTGAGTCCAAAGGACTAGACCAAAGCTAGACTGAGGTAACCATCTCCTCTCCCCCAAAAAGGAAAAAAAAAAATTCCTGTAGCATAGACTTCAGGTCCTCAGTCTACAGGTTCACTCCTGTTCTGCATAACTGTCTTTTTTTCTGTTAGACGCTTCCTGTGAGAACACAGGCTTATTTGGTTCTCCTCTTCCACTGAGGTACAATAGATAGTCTGTTGTACAACAGTTTTGATCTTTTTCTTGGCGTTTTCTTAATGTTGGTCTTTTTCTTAGTATGTCTTTTATGTTTCATTAATTTCAAGAGCTTGACTTCCATTTTTAGCTGGTACCTTTACATGGAATTTCCCCCTTGAAAGCCATTTTAAAAATATTTCAGAGTTATTATCACAATTTCTGTTTAATCTTAAAGATCTTGATTTTGATAACATGACAGCTTGTCTTGCTTGCCTTTCTTAGTGTAATTGCAACAGTGAGCATTATGTCATGTCTCAAATTTTAAAATGAGCAGAAACATTTAAAAGCAAAGTCATGTGCTTATATTTATCTGAATTACTGAATATAATCTCCATTCTTGTATTATATATCCACTTGTATTTTTTTCACTTCACTTTTCTCTGAGCTGAAATACTGAAAAATACAAAATATTAAATACAGATGTAATGTCTCATTGTATTGTGGCTGCTGCATACTTCCAAAAAGCATTGTTAATGACTGTAGAATGCACACGTATACTGGAACAGTACAATATATATACTTTATAAAAAGTGTTCAGGCTCAGGTACCTTGGCCTAAATTGATGAACTATTGCTTTCTGAAATGCCTTGTGCGAGAGAGAGCAAGCTTTCAAAGCCTGACAAAGAACAAGGAACCATTATTCTTAAGGTGCGAGATATTATCCATGTGCAGAGGTACATACGATATTCGAAAGTTATTTAAACTGCTCCTAGTTTGCGGTGAGAGTTAAAATAACTTTTGGAGATCAAAAAGCTTTACCCTAAGATAGTCATCTTACTTTTTATCGATTATCTGTTGGACTGCTGTTAATGATTTAATTTGGGTTGTATGGACGCTGAAACATTATCTGCATTTCACAATGGGTCACTTCGAGTTGGCACAATATGCGTCACCTTTGTCAGCTTGTGGGGATATCTAAAAAATATTACGCTTGTTTAAGTTGCACTAATTCAACTACAGTCTTCCAGTGTCCTAGTTTCAGTACCGAGGGGGTGTGTAGTCCTCAGTTTACACGGGGTTCTGTAAACAACATACCAGGCACACTTGCATACAGTAGGCATGATTAATTATCTCTTCTTTTTAGCTTTGTTACTTTCCTGGATACCAGTCAGCAACCAATACATTAACCATATTTGCTTCTTCGTGTAATTTATGTAGTAGCTTGGTATTGTTTAATCTGAGTGAAATCAGAGCTAGCAAAAGGGAGGTACTAAAGAAGTGCAAGTCAAAACCGGAGTCATGCCAAATTTCCTAGTCCAATTTTTCCTGAGAAAGGAAAGCATTCTGTGTAGACACTTGCATGATTTAGTATGTTATGATGCAGAAGTTTTATGGCTTTATCTCTTACAGAGAGAACAACACTACTGAAAGTAAACCAAGTATAAGCAAATTACTAGTCATTCTTTGGAACTATTTTTAAGTTGGGAGTGCTACAAAAAACTCTTATCTGTGTGAGTAGGAGTCTTCTCAGTCTAAGCAATACTGTAATTACATTGTTTTTGCTTCTGGCCCTGGGATATTTTTGATAGAAGCTTAGCATAAACTCTTTTTTCATAATGTAGCAGAATTATGCAAAAGTTCTTCTGATCCTTAGGTCCTCCATTTTGAGGATAATTTAAAATAAACTAATGGCTATTGTTAGGGATTGCCAAACCTGGAGAGTTTCAGGGCTCAGAGGACTCCTCCTTTACAACTGCCAGAGCCCACAGATTGCGGCAGGGCGGGGGGTTACTGCCATTGGGTATTGGATTCATTACAGGATGCAAAGGAGGAACATCTTGGGATTGTACAAGACTTACAATGTGAAATTTGAGGGAAGAACCAAAGGCAGAAATCAAGGTGATTTGAGGAACATCAGGAAAATAAAAGGATAACAGGCTAAAAGGGGCTGGTCATAAGTAACCAGGCTGCTGGTCAGTGCGCTTGTCTGGCCATGCCCTGTGCCGGATCCCCCTGGTCTTTCCTGTCTTCTCATTAAACTCTTGTTTGCAGCTGTTGTGCCGGGTGAGGGGCGCTCTCCTGTGCCCGTGTGTGTCTGGAGGTCTAAGCGCCAGCCACTGACCTTGGGGACCGTGGGTCAAAGGGGCCCCAGTGCCTGGGGATCCCACCACAGGAGAGACGGGGTGAGTGAGGGGTCTGTATGTGCCAGGGGCTGGAGAGACCGGAGGAAGCACGTGTTGTGTGGCACGTGTGTCAGCGTGTAACCGCTAGCAAACACCGAGGCGGACTGGCTCACAAGTGGGATAAGCAGCTGGGGAGCCGGGTGTGGAACCGGCCGTAGATCTGGGCCAGGTACCGGCAAAGCAGAGGGCCTGCGAGTGGCTCCCAGAGGGCCCGGGAGGTGCAGCCAGCTACTGGGGGGGACCGTGGGGCCTGGGGGTCGGCAACTGGTGGGGTCATAAGTCTGGACCAGCTACCAGAGACCCACCTGCCCGTGGGTCTGGGTGAGAGGCACAGGGAGGCTGGGGGTCTAAGGCAGCTACTGCTACTCACTCAAGTTTTGACTTGTACTTCCTTAGGGCCTCCCTTTTGTAAGCACTGAATTAGTGCATATCTCCAGGCAGTGACTGGAGTGATCCATATTTGTATATATGTATATATACACATATATTATACATATTCCACTGGGCTTTCATCCTGATCAGCCAGAGATGGAAACAGGGTGAGACTATTAGCGGTGTCTCTGTTTGCATGAGCGCTCTGCTCTGTCTGTGTTGATTTGTGCAGCCAACTGTATATGTAAGTATTTGTGTGTGTGGTAGGGGGTGCGTACTGTGCCTGGGCCTATTGAGATGCTCTCAACAATGCTCTCTGCCTTGCTTCCGGCTGGACATGGAGCTGCTGCAGCCTTGCCTCTCTCAGGCTGCCCGCTTCAGCAGCTCCTAACACTTACCTGTGACCTCCTTCGCTGAATGGGAGAAAAGATCAGTGGGATTTTTTTGTTTTAATTTTACCATCTGGAAGAGTGAATAGATTCAGCACATTAAAGCTTGCTAAATTCAGTAATTCTTGTATATATTAAAAACCTATATTAAAGCTATGGGAAGTAAAAGTACAGAATGTAGTTTTGCAATGGATAAAAATCATCTGTCCATCACTAGTACTAGGAAAAGACTTTAATTTCTCTTGAAAAATGAAAAGAAACCCCAAACTTGGGTAACTTTGGTTTCATAAAGCTATTGTCATAAATAATCAAGCTGGCAAGAAAAGTTGGGGTTTTTTGTTTTGTTTTGTTTGTTTTTCTTTGTGTAGAAGTTGAAGTGCTTTGTCCAGAACCTGATGTATTTATTTCAGAATTGAAACCAACATGGATGTCAATGATTTAGGGCTGACAAGGACTCAGATCCTTTATACCCCTCAGTAACAGAACAGGGTGCATCAAAGGAATCAAAGCCTTTATTAAAGGAGTCTATATGGGTGAAGATGACGATATCAAAAGGGCTTACGAATTAATGTCTCTGCAGCACTGCTACTGCATTTTGAATGCAGGTATTCTGATTGTTGGATATCTTGACATCTGACAATTTTTTTCCCCTTGGAAAGTGAACAGCTTATTTAAAAAAAATTTAATATAATGGAAAACCTGTCAGTTCTTTGAAAGCTCTGAAAAAAATCTTACCTATCTCTAATTAAAAAAAAAAAAAATCTGGTTATTCTTTTGCCTTTGAATGCAATGGTTTCAGTATTACATTTTTGTTTTTAGCTTTTCAATGACCTATTCAAGAACAATGCAAACCGATCTGAGAATACAGAAAGACGACAAAATCAGAACTACTTTATGGAAGTGATGACCGTAGAAGGAGTGTATGACTACTTAATGTATGTTGGTAAGAAGTGTTTTTTTTAATTATTTTTATACTTCATGCGAAATATGAAGTTCAGCTTCTTTGGTAAGAGATAAAATTCTATTGTAGTGTTCTTATATTCAGCACTTGCAAGCTTAACAATATGCAAGTTAGGAATACACTCATTCTTTAAAGGATGTTACTGCTGTGCATGCCATAATTTACCTGTCATTATTGCTCAGTTGTTTTGTTATATCCCTTTCTGTATCTCAGAATATGAGCTTATGGGCATAGGTCCCTTCCCTTCTCACATGTGCCTAGGCTGCTTGTATGCTCTGGGCACCAATTAATAAAAATAATGAAGAAAATATTTGGTAAGTAAGCTGGAGCACTGTGCGTTTTTCAGAGTTGCGCAAATAAAAATATTATTTGCTTATTTGCTTTTTTTTTCTTTTTTTTGGTAAGTGAATCCTTTATCATTACTGTTAGGAGAATCTTCTAAATGTGTTACCATAACTTTGCAGGTAGGGTAGTTTTTCGCATTCCTGACTGGCTGCATCACCTCTTGATGGGAGGAAGAATTCTCTTCAAAAATACATTGGAACTGTACACAGACTACTATCTGCATTATAAGTTAGAACAGCTATTTCAGGAGCACCGTTTGGTTTCTTTGATAACACTGCTGAGAGGTTAGTAAAGGTTATGTCTTTGATGTAAAAGTGCCACTCTAGTTTGATATTTGAAATCCCTTCTGTTAAGTTTCCAGGTACTCTCCAAACTTCATCATATTTGACTAAAGCCAAGGGTGTTTTGGAAATCAAGTAGGAAGAAAGTTCCCAAAAGTTCAAGCTGCTGAAAGATGTTGTTAGCCATGTTGTCTGTTAATGATGACTTACCACAGAAAAAAGGATTGTGAACAAAATTTGCTAAGGTTTGCGGAGGACAAGAAAAAGAGAGTAAAGGTTGTTCAGTAGATCAAGTGTTTCATGCTTTCTTTAAAATAAATTAATTTTCATTTGTGCCCTGCATCACAGTCTTATTTTAAATTATTGTTAGCTTTTCGTATCCTTTGTTCTGGTGGACTTTTGAGAGGGCCTGAATATTTTTGACCTTCAAATAAGGGAAGGGGAGGGAGATTAAAAAATGACCTCACTTCACAACTGTAGAGAAGCATTATATGACCACACTCTAAACTAAATGGCACGTCTGGTCAGAGCTCTAGTATCAAGACCAGCTCTAGCAATTTCAGTCCAAAAAGAGATCTTGTGAAAGACCAAAAAAAAAAAAAAAAAAGGGGCAAGTGTTTAGTGCCTAATAGCCTAATAACAAAATTGAATGCCTAATGTTACTTACAAACAACAATTTTTGATTTTTTTTCAGTCCTAGGTGAATCTGAAACTTTTGACAATTCCAGACAGTACTTTAGGGCAAGGTATAATTACTGCTTATGCTTCTGAAAGTGTAAGGGAAACTTTAAGTAGGGAGACTATAACTAAGCTAAAGTAGGATTGATCCAAACCTAGAAGATAATGCTTTAAAAATATAGAAAGAATGGAAACAAACTGGTAAAAAGATTATTGTCCTCCAAACTGAGATATTCTGGATTTGATTGGGCTGATGTGATCTGAAGACACGTCAGAGACTATTAACTGGCAAGGCTAGAATTTACTTGCGGTTAAGCTCATACGGAAAAGAAGCTCAGCTTGGAAGCCATAATGCAAAACAGGTTTTATATGATAAATGTGATAACATAGCTGCCTAAAGACGGTTTCTTCAATGTTTCTTTGCAGATGCTGTGTTCTGTGAGAATACTGAACCTCGCTCTCTCCAGGATAAACAGAAGCGCGCAAAGCAGACTTTTGAAGAAATGATGAGATACATTCCAGGTTCTCTGTTTGATGACTTTTTTTATGAGTATGGTTAATTGTTCAAGCAGACACATAGCTCAAATGCAGCAGTGTTTGCTTTCCAAATCAGATAATACTTTATGCTGCTGAGGTCTTAGAGTTGACTAAGATATTGGTACCTAGCTGTAAAAAAAAAAAAAAAAAAAAAGCAAGACTTCAGTTTTGTCTCTTAATTAACTATTACTGAGTAAGGTTGTGGTACAGTGATTAATAAAGACATGCTAGAAATCAAGAGCTTTACGTACTTAAATGTACTTAAAACCATGATTTGTTCATCTTTAGTACGCACCTAAGGTTTGTATTTTACCTGGATAAAGATGAAAACTGAGTTAAAAAAGGGGGGAGGGGCAGAAATACTGTGAAGCTAGAAGCTAAACCTGAGCTCTACTTACACTATATAACTTAGGGAAGAGGGGTCCAGCCTATTCCACATTATTCAGAAAGTAATTAAAAAATCCCAGCTTATAGCTTATTAAACAAAGCAATAGGACAATAAGTTGACCTTTTAGAAAAATATATTAATGGCTTAGCTGTGCAGCCCTGAAATAAAGGGCAAAGAGGAAGAAAAAATTTGTATTTGGTTTACGAAATATATGTCCCATTTACCAAAGGAATATTTTTCCATTTACCACTTAGGAGGGATAAAATTTTAACTTTTAAACATTTATTAATTTATTTATTACTAGTGTTCAAGAAAAACGCACTGAAGTGGAATTGTGGAGTTATTTTTATGTCAACTCAAACCAGCTGTTATACTATAGCTGCGTTGTATAGCTCTTTTGCAGTGCTTGCTAATGACTTCTGTATCTGTTGGTGACATCTCATCTAGATTTAATAGGCAAATGCATTGGGGAAGAGGCTAAATATGAAGGCATCAGGCTTCTGTTTGATGGAATGCAGCAACCAGTGCTCAACAAGCAGGTAACTCGCAACACTTGAGAAACTTGCCATTTACCACAGTATTTGATAGACGGGGAAGTTCTCATTCAGAGTAAAAATAAAATAAAATAAAAAGCAGTAGCATTGCCTTTTTGTTCTTAATGGCTGACCAATACTCTTCTCTGACATTTGTTTTATTTTATTTTAGTTAACTTATGTTCTCTTGGACACTGCGATTCAAGAACTCTTTCCAGAGCTCAGTAAGGTATGTGCGAAGTCCAAGAGTTGCAGATAAATTCTTCAAGCTACTAGTGACTCTGGTCATTGGTGCATTTTTGTTCTTGATTCCTTGTAGTAAGTTTAATTTTTTTGGCGAATTTGTTTTTTACTAATCTGTTGAAGTCTTTTTAAATTTGAATTATTTACGTTTTTGCTAGTTAGATCTTTCCAGATCCATTTTGGCCCATTTGTCTAACATGCACTCAGTCTGGGGTTCAGAGTCAGTACCCTCTAGCAGAATTGGGCAGAGAGCAATGAGTTGTTAGGATCTCTGTGTCTCTCTTTTTGATTGATTGCCTCCATTCTATTTCCTGCATTTGCTGTCTTTAGGAAGTGAATTCTGCACACCAAGTTCAGGTTGAGCTTCAGCATTTTTCTCAAAAATACTTGGCAGGGGGTGTCTTCACTAAGTTTAGTCACTGCAGTGTTAACACTATGCAGATAAAGGAGAGAGAATTCACATGCTATATAAATGCTTATCATTGTGTATATTATCCATCAGATATTTGTACTTATATAAAACTTCCTAAAGTGTTTCATGGTAAGTTTACAATTTAGTTTCCATGGTAAATGGGAAATGTTAGCTACCTAACCAGATTAAAAAAAAAAAACAAAAAAACCCCACACCCTTCACTTATGATTCAGATTTTGGTTGTGCAACTTCTGAGTCATGGAACTGCAGAATGCCAGCAATGATTTGTTTTGCATGATAAACAGAACCAAGTGACAGATGTCAGAATGAGCTATGGCACCTTCCCTTGTTCTCGCTGAAATGAGACAAGTTTAGCAAGTTTAATCCACTTTGTGCATCCACTCTGTAGTCACCTCCTTATGTCAGTGTTCAAAAAGTTAAAACCAAAAAAAAAAAAAAAGAGCCAACTAGGAGAATGAGGAAGTAGGTTAGTGACTGGTATGCTGCAAGAAGACCTGATTTAGTCCCCTGAACTGTTTCTGTATCCCAGCAGTAAACAATGTATCTACACAAATATTGACCTGTCTTCGGTTAATGCTGAAACAAGTTAAAGGCTTTGTGCGTTAAATGTTCAAATAATTTTTAAAGACTGTAAACCTGCCTTTTTTCCTTTGTGTGTATTTTATGGGGGAAAATATTTTTTTCCTCAATAACAAAACAAAATGTGATGTAATGTAAGGTAGCATTAAAGTTTTTATTTATTAATCCATCCTTTCATTCCCTGTAACTGGATGATGCTGCCTGACTGCTCTGCAGTGTTTCAGAAAGCTACCTGCTGAGGAGGGAGTTTTGATGCTACCTTCAGTCCCAAACAGCAGAGCTGAGATCTGGGCTCTCCCTGTCCCATGCAACTGAAGCTGATGAGGGAGACAGAGAAGGAAGATTTACTGGCCCAGATTTCAGTGGAGGAAAGGAAGGAAGGATCTTTCAACCAGGAATTCCAGCTATTTTCCTCTTTTAGACATATCAAGAGTATAAAACAAAACAAAGTACTGCCTTCTGTGATCTTTTAAGGTGGGACCTGTTAGTGAACATAATAGGACTAATGATGGACTGAGTGAGGCAGCTGAAGAAGGATCAGTATGAAAAGACAAATGCAAGGTGGAAAGAGAGAATATGGGTAAGGGGGTAGATGTTTTCCATCTGGAGCCCAGAATACAGAAAAAAGAAAGGAAGAAAAAGGGAGAACTGGTTGATTCCGAGGTGGGAATCACACTTTAATTCCCTTTCCCCTCTGTTTCTGCTCTCCAAGAATCACTATGAACTGACTGTGAAGACATCTGGGAATAGAACTCTGTTTCCTGAGGACGTTTAAAATGACTAGTTCGTATTTAGTTATCAGTTATATTTCAAAAGATCACTTCAGTGGCCATCCCTTCTGCTCAACAGAGACTCTTCCTTTCTGAGCTACTTGTAGTAAAATGTGTTCATAGTTACAGTAAAGAATAGACAAATATTTCAGACTGGTCAGTATTTAAAAAGAAAACCGAGCATCCCGGAATTTTTTTTTTAGCACTGCTCCCCTCAGCGACAGTAACTGTCATGGGGGAAAATTTCTGTTAGTGGGGATGTCAGCCTGCTTTCCACTGGAATGAAAAGAATGGGTTGTATTCCTGCACGAGATGATTTTCAAGAATGCTTTTTTGAAGCATTGTCGTTCAAAAAAATACAGTATTGGTATTTTGTTTTTGAAAAGATTATCTGAAATGGTCAAAAACCAAAGCTTTTAAGTATGTTTTAAGAATCTGCATGTTTTGTAATGATGCTTCCAGGTAAAGTCATGTGGTAGCTATTTATCTCTTCTTATTAGCTGCTACTCATTAGATCTGACATCTTAAAGTTATATCTGGGTACACTTAACCATTATGTATATATAGGGGATCATTTCAGATGTGCTGTATTTAACTGCAGCATGCATAAGCACAGAGGTTCTAAGGAGAAGAGGTGGAAAACAGTGTTACGTAAATTTTGCTTGTGATACAATGTACAACCACACTCTTGGAAGTCTGTTCAGACAAGATAAAAGGAAAAGGGACAGCTGAGACAGGAAAAGCATTCCTAGCAGAGGAAGGAAAGAAATACTCTTGAAAAATACCATGCTAATGCTTTCAGAGCAGAAAATTGATTGTTCAGAAATGCGTGTCAGGCAGTTAGGAACAGGGAGGGGAGAACTTCTAGAGAAAGAAGAAAATACCTACTTTAAGAAATAGTAAAGCACTAGCTTTCCTTTCTGTTCTTTCCGATTTCTGGTGAATGTTTTCAAGCATTATTAATCACTGCAGCCTAACTCAGTTGTTTCTATGTAAATACACATTTTCATTCTTAAGTCAAATTTCTCTCAACTACCATTTGACAGGGCCCGAAGGAAGCTAGCTCTGTGTCATCTTGGATGTGAATGTGAGGATCTTGCTGAACACCTAACAGAAACTTCTGCTGTGCGCTAACAGAATGTATATGTGAAATTTTAGCCTTGCATTGTATATTTTCTTGTAAATATGATAAATTAAGCTCTAAAAACCTCTTTATGCAATAAAGACATTAAAATTTAATATCAGTTACAATTTAATAATGCATTTGTACTTTTTATTTAATCTTTTTTAGCTGTTATAAGTAAAAGTCAAACTCATTTCCCAAAAATCTCTGCATGAGAAAGTACAGGGTAATATGAAATAAGAGTGCTGGGAGACCAGCCTTCCTGTGCTTTGTTAAAAGCGTAACTGTTGTCTTCCTTAAAGGATATTTAGAAAAATTGTCTGGAAGAATTTGTAAAGTGCTCCTGTTAAGGTGTTTTTAAATGCCTTGACAAATCTTAATCATTTACTTAAACAGAGATGTGATTGAATCTATTGCATACAAATCTCAGAATCTCTTATCTCTGGCCTTCATGATTTCCATGGACATGGAAAATATAGCACATGTTTCAGTTGTTCAGTTTATTTAGCATCTGACCTTGAAATTTAAAGCACTCTTAAAATAACAATGGGTGTGAAGTGGTTTTTTTTGACTTTACCTTAGCTTTTATTTTTTTCTGCCATTTCTTATCTGGGTTTGTGATTTGGGTTCTTTTTTTCCCCGGACATCCTCTTTAGAGGCTTAGAGAAGAGGATGTGAATCTGTTCTTAGTATTTTCTAAAAATTGATTAGAATAAAAATGTGTGGAGGATTTTCTTCCTGTAAATCTTAACTTGTTGGCCCTAGACTTTATAAAAGAGACTTTAAAAAGGACTTTTTTGCATGGATTTGTAACATGTTTTACTTGCAGAACAATACAGATGTTTTAACAGACTTTCCCTGAGATTTTTTTTTCCAGACAATGCCTATTTTTTTCCTTTTGCAGACAGACCAGAGTACACTATTCTAATATAGTATTAGTGGTTTTTGTCAACACAACTTGCTTTTTTTATTTATATTGCTGTCGTTCACTTTTTCTTTCTGTTTGTCAGAGGAAGGTAAAAATATTATTTCTCTCTGGGTATGCTGAAGGAGTCTTCATACCTACTTTCTAAAACAAAGATGTGCAGATACAGTGTAGTCCATAAATGTAGTCTGTGCTACTGTTTTACGTTGTTTTGGGGAATACTCTTCTGTTAAGACCTTTACGGGCTGGTATTGAAAAATCATCAATGTCATGTTATACCCGGCAGTGTCAAGTGCAGTTGTTACGTGTCTCCCAGCTTCAAGTACTTTGAGGCACAAATGTGCCTGTTCCAACACAGCTTAGCTAATAAAACTACGTAGTCTAAGTCACTTCATGTGCAGCTCTCGAATTTACTTGGAAGCTAAGTAAGTTTTGAAATCAAACATACTGCATATTGTCTGTCTTATTAAATGTTTATCTTTAATATTATACACCTTCATGTAATCTGAGGAACAGGGAATTCAAGAGCTGCGTAGCTGGGCTCTGAAGGAGCATAGTTTGTTTTCCAGAAAATCAAGACAGGTTTATTCAAAACATTGCAAATCAGTTTAATACAACAATAAACAATATATGGATTTTAAAATTCTGAATTTGAGTGGTCTTACAAAAATACCATTATTTGCACTCATTTATAGGTCTGTCCTTTCTGGATAAAGTGTCAGAAAATGTACGTCCTATTTCCGGTTTTATATTCATTAACTTGCCTCTTACAACTGTGTATTGTAAAACACAGCCTTTCTGTGGAGAAATAGGCTTTTGAGTTATCATAATGATGATAAGGCCAGGTTACGCTATAAAAAGCCCCATTTCTGGGCAGCTTCCAAAGAATGCCACAGTGTTGTAGGAATCATCATTTGTAGCTGACGTTCTCTGAATGTTGCTGATACTGGGTGATGTACAGGAGCCCTGTGCTTTGGTCTTTGGAATAAGGTATAAAATGAGCATCTTTATTGTTGGCACTAATCTAGAAATCTCATGGCAGTTGCTGCAAGAATAATTTTCAGAATTGTCTCATATACATATCGTCTTAGATACTGTGTACCCCCTAAGGATATGGCCCCTAAACTGGTCATATTAAATGGTGAAGCTACACGTGCTTGATTTTTGCCAAATCAAAATTCATCAAAATCAAATCAAAGCTTGCATTGTATCCTTTATCAGTGTAAAACATAAGTGAGTTGCTGCATCTTAAAGCAATACGGACAGACTTTTTTAATTGCACATAAACGGACCTCATGATTTTAACACTAAATTCATCTCTTGTAGGTAAGACAAATATGACTTGAAGCAAAGTAGAATTATTAGATTGAAAGCTTAAACAATGAGTGGTGATCAGAGGGGGGAGATACAAACCTGTAATACACCAATTTCTAGAAGGTTGTTTAAATTACTGGAATCAGATTTGTAATCAATTCATTGTCTAAGCTGCAAGAAGAATTTGACAAATTAAGAAGATGCCACTTCAGTCAGTGATGGAGTTCTGGATAGAGAATTAGTATTCACTAATACTTTGCTTCTTAGAACATGAACCTGAGTTGTGGACCATGTGAGTCTGAAACAGAGGGTGCAAACAAACTATGAAAAGTCATTAATTCTGCCCCCTCATTTTGCATAGCCTGCTTCAACAACTTTACCTGATTAAGGACAGTTGCTTGGGCTATTACTGATTACATGCAGAAGCCTAAGCACTTGTTTATTGTAAGGTGTAAGAAAATAGAAGTTCTCTTCTTCCTGAGCACTATCTCTGCACCTGCCTTCCTCCAAAGGAAAAAATATATCACAAGCAAAAATTAAATGTGCAAGAATGTTACAGTGAGCAGTACAGCAATCAAGGTAAGACTTCCTTGGATGATACTTCCAGCAGAAAATTTTATTCGACCTTCAAGTGCTGGATAAACTCTTTTCATTCTGTCAAGATAACGGGAAACAACCTCAATGTCAGGTTCACCTAAACAAACAAACAAACAAAAAATTACAGTATTTTCTGCAGCAACAAGTTATACAGTAAATGTTAAGAAGTTTCTTTAAATTGTTGCAGCTTTAGCTCAAGTCTCAAAGTGAGAACTGCTTTTGCTACCCTTTGCTGTTCTTTCTCCTGAATCAGACAGTCTGCCATCAGGACAGCGTGTGGGAATGCGGCAAGTCATTTCTTGTGTGCAGATATGTGTTTGTTATGGTTTGTGGCCAAAATTTTTGGTAGCAACTTGTATTTTACTGAAAAAGAAAATTCCCTTTGCATCATCAGGCTTCTGTTTGCTTGCTTCTCTCTGTTACAGTAGTAATTTCCCATTAGATTTAGGTAGATTGAGATAGTCTCCCAACTGCAAAACATTATTTAACCGTGTGCTCTGGATAGAGTGCTACAGCTCTAGAAAAAGTTATCACTTGCACCTATAGTTCTTAGGAGGAATTTCTAGGCTGTGTTCTGCCATGTGGCCTGTTCTGCCAAAATACCATCTAGCTACAGAAGTGGATGAGAACCCTAAGGCCCTGATGGTACCCAACCATCATGGCCCTTTCTAATCCAAGGTTACAATCCCAAAATGCATCACCTCCATCTTAAAAGTAATTACAGTTTTGCCCCTCTGATGTACCAGAAAGATTCTAACGAACTTTTCAAGCTGTTCCCCTTGATTATTCCCACTGATTTCTTTTTTTGCAAATTTATTTCTGCGTAAACAGAAATTTAGTCCAAGCTACACTGCTCCCCCCACCTTCAAGAAACCTTACACAACTCAAGCTATAGATTAATTTTTAAATTACATTCAAAAACATTAATCCCACTTGTGAGAATCAATTTTAAGTTGAAACATTCTATAGAAGCAAAAATCAAAATGGTTAGTCCTAGGCAGTCAGATTAAAAGCAAATTTAATCTATTTGATAAAAAGAACACCTGAGACTAGTACTACAGAAAGATCTTTTTAACATTTAGGGATTGCTCTTTTACTCTGTGAGTGCCCATACTTACCTTTACTGTATCCCAGATTCTTGTCTTTCAGCATATGATAGTCATCTCCACCAAATAACAAATAGGATGGAAGAGTCACATTGTATATTTCATCCATTTGGAGTGGTACGTAGGCTGGGACTCTGCAGGTTGTACAGAGCACTTCTATGCTAACAACTCTGCTTCCTGGAGCTTTGGAGAGATCATAGACCACGTGGATGCCTAGGAAAACACGTTTGAATGCTATTTTATGCAGAGCCTATTGAACGCTTCGGGCTAGAAGCAGACTATCCTCTGTGGTTGGTTGGTTTGTTTGTTTGTTTTTATCTTTTACATTAGTTTCTGTGACTGCAACGTTAGATTGTTCTGAGTGATAACAATTCATGCCCAGTCTTTCCACGCAAACCAACTTTTATTTGGGAATTGCTGAAGTACGATACCACCTCAATTACTTATCTGATGATCTATTCCCTTGTTGTCACAGCTCCACAGAAAGAAATCACTAGTCATTGGTTGGACCAGGATACTGCACATAAAAACACCTTCGCTTATTTCTGTCATCTTGTCATATGCTTTTTCTTTCCATTATCTTGTAGGTTGAAATGACTTCCTTTAAAGCCAGTCACCCTAACCTAGCAGCTATTATACATAATAAATACTGTCCTGAAAAAAAGAAAGCTGAACTAGGGCTGAATACTATGGTTTCTAGTCACCATAGGAGAAATGACGTTTCTAGTTGTGAACCCTCCTCATTCAACGTCTGGGGAGAGTTAGGACCTGAGAACAGGATTGCCAAGAATTTGCTCATCAGGAAGCTGCTGAAACTCCTCCAAAAGCAACACAAAGGACAGAGACTCTTCGTACCCTGGCTCCCCTGCTCTAAGTCTGTCCTGAACCCTTCCCAGAGCTCCTACTTTTTTTTTTTTCTTCCTCCCTTCCTTTTTGTTAAAATAATTTTATTTATTTATTTATCTTAGTGGTAGCTAAGAACATGGTAACTTAGTCGTGAGAGCACTTGCCAAGTGTGTGAGACTTGAGTTCTGTCCTTGGCATGTGGCGGGTTCTAGATCCCATCTCCAGGGACAGTGCCCTCATCACCTCTGCCATTGAAGTTTTTCTGCTAAATAAACAATGAAATCCACACTGTATCAGAGAGCACACACAAATATGACTAGCCTAGCACAGATCAGTATCTAGGGAGCTGTGCTTCAAAGAAATGTGCATGTTTTTAATATTAAATGTTAATCCCTAACGTATTTAGAAACTTACTGGAACAATACCATAACACACTTGGACTAACTCTCACCACTTCAGTGATCGTTAGACAACAGCACAACATCATTTTGATAAACTGACAATGTCAATATCTGGCAGAGAAATCCAGTCCAGGGTTTCAGGTAGGGTGTCGGTGAAGAGCTGAAAACAGGAGTTTGATGGGTTACAGAGATCAAAGTGTTACAGGTCTGCAGGAATATATCTTCCCTTAGTTACCTGCTGCTGTAACAGGTTACTGAAACAACTGGGAAACCTGTCTGTGGGGATGGAACAGTGACAGCCTCTGTTCTGCGGGGCTTGCGTGGCTCAGCTAAGCACGCGGAAGATAGTGTCCTTGTTAGCCAGCGTATATGACGCACAAAACTAGCGTATACAAGGATGTATTGCCAATTTCATTTCTATTCTTAAAGGGCCAGTGCAGCATGGCCTTCCACATATAAATACACACAAGGCCAGCAGTTACTTTGGAGCGGTTATTGGTTGTGGATGGTTGAAGAGGAAGGGAGAAAACATACCTCCGACCTGCAGCAACTCTCCGGTTCCTCTCCCATATCTGCGCACACTATGCTCAAAAGCTTCTTTCAGAGTGGAGCCTTTTAACTTTACCAAATCAAAACGACCTCCAAATGGCAAAACAGACAGCAAATCTTCCATAGTAATACTGCCTGAGGGAAATGAGACTTTACTTTTACATTAATTTAAAAAAAAATTACAATATTATTTTAAGATCATTTCACAGTAGGTTATTTGGCAAGGAACATGGCAAATGCAATTTGAGAAAATGAGGGCTGGTAGAGATGAGGTTCACATACACTGTCTCAATCAAAGACTTTGTGTTTTATTATCCAACCTCGCAAGCCCAGCGAATCTGAGTTTGATGTAACTGCTTGTATTGATATTCAAATAACTGTACTAAAAGAAATTACAAACCATTAATCTATGACCAAGACAAACAGAAATTCTTGCTCAGTCAGGCAACTTTTCCAGTTGCTTAAAATTTACTTGCGGTGGCCACAGAGAAACGCTTAGCTAAAATGAAAAAAAAAAAAGTGTTTGCTTTCAGTTTTTGTTTACCTGATAACTAAGAAAATAGGAACTCTAAAACCTTAGCATTCAGAAAACCCAGAATTCACTTATGCCATGGTGGACTATGGAAGGCTTCTAGCAACCTTAGCAACCATATTACCCCTTACAGTAGGAGATGAAGAATATCCACCATGTTTCTTTTTTCCAAGGGAGCAAGGAAAGAGAAAAATTATCAAAAACATACAATGTTTTTGTATGTACACTGTGTACACACAATATCAGTACTGCTGTGCTTGTCAGCCTGAGTGCAGTTGTACGCTACTGCTGGATAAACACTTGAGAAAGTTTGAAATAGCTTCTAAAAGCTGTGTAAATCCCATCAAAATAAGCCCATACCCAACACTGAGTTCAGGCTTCCAAGATAACTTGATTTTTCTTTCTTGATGAAACTGTAATTCAGCTTGCAGTTTTACATACCATCAGCGCTCTGTTCATCGATGGGTGAGCGTATCCCACCTGCATTCAGGATGCACATCGAAACATGGTTCCATTTCTTTTCATCAGGGTGTTTAACACTCTCATAAAGCTATGAAAAAAAAAAGTTTAAAATGATTTTTAATCCTCACTTAGTCTAGCCTCTGGAAATTTACACAGTCTGCGATGGTGATTTTTTTGATTCCAGCTATTGTGAAGAACGCCAATGATTTGATCCTATGTGGAGAATCAGGAGGTATAGAGCAGCTTAAATATAGAAGTACATTACGAGCATGTAGATGAATGTACAAACTAATCTAGCTTCTGCTGCGCATTGTGGGGAATTAAGATTTTCAGCTTCTTTGAGACTGGTCTTCAATATTTGGAATGGTCTTAGGAAACTAGAAAGATGTAAAAGAGTGAAGGAACGTAAAAACAGCCATAATAGATCAGACCCGAAAGTCTACTTTGCCCAGCATGTCTCCAACAGCGGCAAAATTCTGACAAAAGCTAGGTGCGAGGACACAATAATATTTGCTTGAGAGTTCCTAAAGAGTAGTGAACAAAATGGAAACCATGATTCTGCAGCTAAGTAAATCCCTGTGTATTAACCCTTAGAAACAATTCAGTAGAACAGGAAAAAGTTCAGAAAAAGCAAACACCGATAATGGAAGGGATGGCCCAGTTTCCATACAGGAATGACCGCAGTTTAAAGTACTTCAGTCTCACAAAGAGACAACGACAGGAAGGATGTGACAGAAGTCTGTAAAATCAGGAGGGGGAAGGTGGAGGTTAGATAGGAATCAGTGAATTTCCTCATCTCAAGAATGATATGAAACTGGAAAAGATTCACAGAAGGATGTCAAGGTGGTCAAAGATACAGAAAAGCTTCTGAACGCAGAGTGATGAGGTAGGCTAGAACTGTCTGTCCTGGAGAAGAGACAACAGAAGGAGAATATTTGAGAGACCTACAAAAGCAATGAGCCCCGTGAAGAGGGTGGGTAAGGACCAAGTGTTCCAGTGCAAGAACTGCTCCTCGGCATCCAGCTAGCGGGCGGCAGGCTGCAAACAGAAGAAGATGAAGGTCCGGGCATGATGAGCTGTTCAGCAGTGGGACGGACGCCTGGCCGCAGGGCGCTGTGAGTGCTGAAAGGGCAGAGGGGCTCATGGGGAGACGGGGCGAGTTTGTGGCAGTGACATCCCAGTGGGGGTTAGTACTTTCCTCAACTTCCCCCCTCCGTCACTCCTGGAGACAAGACATTGGGATGGACGGTCCTTTGGTCTGTTCCAGTCTGGCCACTCCTCTTCTGCTGCACCCCTGTGCTGAATGGTTTGCAGCCACTAACGTTTAGCTGCTTAAATCCTTTCTGGCTCCAGCTTCAAAGTTATTCCTTGAGGACTTACTCATTTGTTCATAACTCGTACTTAATCAATGTATTAGTTTTTCAATTTAGAGATTTCAATCTGAGCTATACCCTCTAATTTACTGATTTGCCTGGAACAGACAGCAGGATTACAAGTCTTTAATTCTTCAGTAACCTACAGAAACATTTTTTAAGTGGCTGCTACTCTCTAGTCTTGAGCACAGAGGCAGTTTCAAACAAGAGCTTCCACCCTGCAGTAACTAATTCAGCCATTTCACATTGGAGTTCCTTTAGAGTCCTTGATCACATGCCATCTGGTGCTGTCAACCTCTTATTCTGAGATTTTGGGCTACTGGTGGAGAAGCATCACTGACCTAGATGAACCTCTGATATCACCCAATACAATTGTTCCATCAATTTGCACATTTCTCAGTCTCCATATTTCCCAGGACAACTCTAAATACTGAAGTCCATGGCACAAAATTAATACCTTAATACCCCTGAATGAATAGACAAGGTATCACAGAATCACAGAATCGCTGAGGTTGGAAGGGACCTCTGGAGATCATCTAGTCCAACCTCCCTGCTCAAGCAGGGTCCTCTAGAGCATATTGCCCAGGATCACGTCCAGGCGGGTTTAGAATATCTCCAGAGAAGGAGACTCCACTACCTCTCTGGGCAACCTGTTCCAGTGCTCCATCACCCTCACAGTCAAGAAGTTTTTTCTCAGGTTCAGATGGAACTTCCTGTGGTTCGGTTTCTGCCCGTTGCCTCTTGTCCTGTTGCTGGGTACCACAGAGAAGAGATTGGCCTCATCCTCTCGACACCCTCCCTTCAGATACTTGTAGACATTGATGAGATCACCTCTCAGTCTTCTCTTCCCCGGGCTGAACAGGCCCAGCTCTCTCAGCCTTTCTTCAGAGGAGAGATGCTCCAGTCCCTTCACCATCTTAGTAGCCCTCCGCTGGACTCACACCAGGAGCTCCTTGTCTCTCTTGTACTGGGGAGCCCAGAACTGGACACAGTACTCCAGGTGAGGCCTCCCCAGGGCTGAGGAGAGGGGCAGGATCACCTCCCTCCACCTGCTGGCAACACCCTGCCTCATGCACCCCAGGAGACCATTGGCTTTCTTGGCCACGAGGGCACATTGCTGGCTCATGCTTAACTTGTTGTCCACCAGCACTCCCAGGTCCTTCTCGGCAGAGCTACTTTCCAGCAGGTCAACCCCCAGCCTGTCCTGCTGCCTGGGATTATTCTTGCCTAGGTGCAGGACCCTGCACTTGCCTTTGTTGAACTGCAGGAGGTTCCTCTCCGCCCAGCTCTCCAGCCTGTCCAGGTGAAGGTCAGCACAGCCTTCTGGTGGGTCAGCCACTCCCCCCACTTCAGTATCATCAGCAAACTTGCTGAGGGTGCACTCTGTCCCTTCCTCCAGGTCGTCGTTGGTGAATACATTGAACAAGACTGGACCCAGGACTGACCCCTGGCGGACACCGCTAGCTACAGGCCTCCAACTAGACTCTGCGCCACTGACCACGACCCTCTGAGCTCGGCCATCCAGCCAGTTCTCAAGCCACCTCACCGTCCACTCATCTAGCCCACACTTCCTGAGTTTCCCTAGGAGGATGTGATGGGAGACAGTGTCCAAAGCCTTGCTGAAGTCCAGGGAGACAACATCCACTGCTCTGCCCTCCTCTACCCAGCCAGTCATTCCATCAGAGAAGGCTATCTGAAGGTAGAACTGGTATTGCAAAGAACATATAAAGAGCAATCCATATATCTACTGATGAATGCACATGGTTGTGTAGAGGAATTTATTTCACTTAAGTAGAATTTGACCTCCCAAGAAAAAAAATTATATTAAGAAAATCTACAGACTTTTGAAGGATAACAAAGCAACTTCCTTTAAGCTTAAAGAGTGTCAAAGTATTTGAACACATTTTTCAAACAAATATATTAAACAGTCTAAAAGAAAGAAAAAACAAAACACTGCAATTTCAGTAGAACGTGTGTGTAGAACTCCACAATCTTAATCCAATTTGTAAATTATTCTTTGAACTAAACATTATCTTAAGGATTACAGTAAAAGCAATTATGGAAAAACAGTTTTCAGCAAATTTCCAAACTACAACTCATGATTACTAATTGGAACCTGACTTTGTGGGAGTACTGTAGGCTATTTACAGTAATTGTCTTTTTCTGAAAAGAGTCATGTTAGTAAACTTTTTCCCTGGAGCACCCAAAAGAAATAGCGCAATCATGGGAGAGTAAAATAATCAAAACCACTTAGTTTAAAAACTGTGAACTACTTCTCGTAAAGAGTTTTTGGTGTTATGTAACTCTGGTAAAGCATGGCATCCGGAGGTCGGTAGCGGCAGGGGCTCTGCGTGGTGCCAGGGCAAGGCCTCGCCGCCAGCGCCCGTCTCACTGCCCCAGGAGGGAGCAGGGCACTGGGGGCAGCCCCAGCCCCGGGCATTGAGCACCTCCATGGGGATGGGGACAGGCCGAGGATGGGATGGGTGGCTGCCCGCAGGTCAGGGTTGGTGGCGGGGTGACCGATGGCCCTGGGCTGGGCCAAAATGGGAGCCTGAGGCTGGGCAGGGTGGGGGGAGGCCCGGGGGTTGGGCAAGGACAGGGAGGGCTGGGAGTGTCCTCAGGGCCCTGACAATACCATAAGATCTTCCACTTCGTGAGTTCTTTTCTTGGCTCTACTTTTTGAAAAGTTCATAAAGGACTTTTTCCCATAAAAGGCAATTCTCAACACCGGCTGATACAAAAGCTATGGACACTCATCAAAGCAAGAAACACAGAGCAGCTGTTTCGTGAGCAACTGAGCTGGCTCTTTGAGGTCGGGAGAGGAACTCTTGCTTTTACTATTTCCGCTCTTTGCTCTATGCTCTTTCCCCCTCCTTTGCGTAATCTGGCACCTTTTAGATTCTTCTGTGAGCCAGTTCTCATCAGTAAACCAGCAGAAAACTATCCAGGTTTTTTTCCTGGGTTAGTGAGTTAAAAAAGGTCACACCAGAGCCCAGTGAGCAATGACTAAGCACCAGGCAAGTGCTATGAGCAGAGGACTGGTAGCAGAGTAAGTGAGAGGGGCAATGAGACCTGAACTCTCCTTCCATGAGGAATGGGCTATTAGATCAGATTGCTATGTCTGTTAAAACGGCAGCCACAACATAGTCCAGACCCAGCTGTGAACAACACATGCATCTTCTGTATGAGGGTATATGCAAAGAATAAACCACTCCATAAAAATCTTACAAAATTCATCACAGCCTAACTTTTGCCAGCTCTTTCTAGGGAAGACACTGAGATGTTACTGTGATGGAGAGCAGCAAGAGAGCCCAAACACCGATAGCTCAGAGCCTGAGATAATTTTTTCTGATAGCACTAGAGTACGACTTAGATATAATTGCCACCTATTGTGGCCACTTCTTACCGCAGCATCACAAAGCAAGTTTCCCATGTTGCATTCTTGGAAACGGCACGCTTGGCTTGTACCATTCAGGTAAACACTAGTTTTTCCAATCTCTTTAGAATAATTTCCCAGGCTTTTCCTCCATTTTTCCACTTCTTCTTTAATGTAGTCATCTATAAGAGAAATGTAAAATGAGCATCACAGGTATGCTGTATTAATGATACTTCAGTGCATACAAAGCTTAGGGAAAACCTACTCTTCAAGATTCCAAAATGTTATACTTTCCCTGAAGCATCTTCAAAAAACATGGCATGTATATTTACTTTAAAGAAAGGTTAGAAACAGAGCAGTGAGGACAGAAACAATCAAGTGAATAAACTATTCCCTTGCCACAGCAAAGGAACCTTCTCTATTGCATTTAAAAATAATTGTACCCAGGCCTGTTGTAACCTCTGACCAATGGGGTTTCTAGCAGTTACCTTGAAAGATGAGAGCTTCTGTATAAGAACTGTTAATATACAAATTAGCTGAGTCCTTCTTTATATAAACTCTAGTATTCTTCTATAGCTTCCTCCCCTTCTACACAGTATTAAAAGGAATACTAGCTCAAATATAAATATCAAGGAATAGTCCCTTTATAAGAATTAACTGTATATGCACCCCTATCCACCATGTGCCAATCTAGTTCTTTCAGGGAAAAAAAAACACATACAAAAGATACTTGTGTACGCAGACAGATAATGTCACATGCAGACAGATAATGTCACAACTGTTCTGTATCAGCTGTTAGTTTTAGTTTTAAGCAATCTGGCATGTAACTTCATCAGTACAAGAGCAACATATAAGAGTGACTATATATCTGAATTTTAACATTTACTGACCTCAGAGAGAATATAAACTCTCTTTACATCACCTCATTAAATTAATGGATCACTGAGAATAACATAGTAAATAAAAATATCTATAAACATATCATTTTTAAAGGATTTATTTTATTAATACTCTGGTAGAAAAGTCTGATAAAAGCTCAGAGACTCATATAGTAATCACTGGACAAGAAAAAAGAATAACACATCAACTCTCAGTAATTACAAAGCAGACAAAAAGTAGGTAATGGAGCCTGGAGGCATTACAAAACCAGCAAGTAACAGAAAGATTCTCCTCCTTCCAGGTTTTTAAATATTTCAGAGGTTAAAACAAGAAAGTTTTGTGTATCGTATCTGCACATTGTCAGAGTATTCCAAAATTTCTGAGACACCTCAGGTTTGCTATATTGCCCTGAACTCTGTTCTGATGAATCCAGCCTCTGGCATAACAGTGTAAGTTAGTCTTTATAATCTTTTAAATTGCAATTACAGATCTGCCTAAAATAAGCCTTGCTAAATGGTAAGGTATTACCTGAGTTCCTACAAAAGAACTATCAGTGATTTCAAATAGGTAAAAATATACACCGAAATTGTGCAAATGCAAAGGCCTTTGTTCAGAAAGAGAAATAGAGAGTAAAACAGGTACTAATGTAACACAGCCTGAACCCTAAAGCAAAGAGAAGTGCAAGCTCAAGAAGAAAGCTGAATTCTGCTGCAACACTGCACTGTACATTTAACACAGTAACACTTGAATTGTAGTAGACTGCTGCACAGTAGACTGTGTGTAAGTTCACATTTCTATTTCACATACCTTCAGGAACACTGCTGTCCAGCAAAATAGGGTTTCCTACTGCTTCAATTACATTTCCTTTCTTGTCAAATGTAACATTTAGGTAACCGAGATATTTTCCATAAGCGTAAGCTTGTACAACCGGCACCTTCCTCCCATCATCTGACTGAACCATGAACGGATATGGGCCAGCTGGCTGTTCAGTAGAGGGTGGGGTGCCTGCACAGAACAACCACGTAAAGAGGGTCTTCAGCTTATGTGACCTTCAAGGTATTATTAGAATAACATTAATAACATTTCAAACGTTTCGCTTCCTTAAAAAAACAAATGTGATATTAAACAAACCCAATAACCAATGCATTAGACAACGAGTACACATTTAATTGTTCAGTTATGGTAATACAGAAGAGATGTTATTGTTTTCAGGACCTGACCAGTAATAACCATCACAGTGTTGTTTATGTTGTGACAGCACACTTCTCCATGACATCACATCACAATAGCAACAAAGGAACTTTTCATTCTAATTATTCTAATTCAAACCTTTAAGTAGCATATATAAACCAGCTTTTGGCTGAAAAGTTTATTGTTGAGCCTTCACACTACAGTATTCTGTACTAGGCAGAAAAATGAGGCTGTCAGTAAAACATACATTTTTTCATATGAAAACTCTAAACTACTTTTATTAACAATATGTAATCAGAATCCCTACAAGTAAATTCTGTAATCTGCATATACAGCCAAATGATTTTTTAATATACCAAGCTTAGAACAAAACTTTTGCAAGTGATGCCATTTCATAACACAATTTCAGACTGGCTGAAAACCCCCTACAAAAGCGAACTTTATTAGGGTTAGACTTAGGTAGTCATGGATTCCAAACACTTATGAATCTGCAAAATTTGAAGACTGATTACACGTAGGACTTGGAAACAGGTATATGAAAGCAAGGGATTTACAGAGAAAAGAGATCGCAGCTCAGTCAGCACAGCAACCATGCAGCAGAGGAGAACGGCAAAGGAAACATACAGCATACCACTCACCTCAAGGTACCTGCCTTCTCTCCATCTCCTTGACAATATTATCTGGGCTAATATCACACCCCTCTCTTATTTCCACCAGCACTTTTAGTGAAGTTAGTGAAGACCAAAGTCTGGTGACTCTATGCTATGGCGCACGCTTCACAACATGCCCCGCCGCAGAGCCTCCCTAACTCCCGTTGTTCTTTCCTGTTCCCAAAGCTAGCCACATTTCCCATTAATGCATCGTCCTCTCACTCCTTGTGGTGAGAGATGGGGCACCCTACGGATGCAGCAGTGTGGGACAGGAATCCAAAGGAAAGCAGGCTGCTTCTGTTCCACCGCTCTCAGAACAACTGGTTTCCTTTCATTTATAGCTGTTTGTATAGCATGAAACCCACAGACATTAAACATGACAAATATTAAATACTTTTAGCCTGGCCAACAGAACTGATTTCTTGGAAGTGGTAAGGCCCCATCACTTTGGCCCCCTTGACACTTCGGAAGAACTTACAAAAACCTGTAGCTGATAAGAACCCTTCAGGGTTACAAATCCAAAAGTGGCTTCGGGCTTTTTGGAACTGCAGAAGGAATTGGTTTTGATCTCTCACCCTTGTGTAGTCCTGGCCTGAACAGAACATCAGCAAGCGAAAGTAATGTTTTCTAGCTTTCCTTTTAGTTTATATCATCTGTGCATAGTCAAGTGCTCAGCCAGTACTTGATTAATTTATTGTTTTCTAAAGAGATATTGTCTGATAATATTTTCTTTCAGGATAAATTATCACTATAACATTCTATAAGCTGTGGTTCTTCTGAAAGGAAAAGATGTTTCAGTGCATCTTATCCCAAGAAGAAGACGGCTCTAAAATTCACAAACACATCTCAGTTAATGTGCAAGATTCCGTTTCATTAGAAATGTGTAAATTCATATTGAGTAACTGAAGAAACTGCAACACTTTTACCTATTTTGTTACCGTGTTCTAGCCAACACACTACATTCTCAGAACAGCTTTACTGATGAAATCCAGAAACTAGAGTAATTTAACCTAAAACTATCTATCTTTACTATTGTAATGAAGTTTACAAACCCAAGGTATACTTGCACACAGTCAAGTCACCATTTGTCACAATTTGTAGATACGCTAGAGAATGGCAAATGTCTCAGAGACAGATTGGACTAGTTCAAGACTAAGGCCCTTATATTAAGACAGCTTATGGAGTTGTCTGTGGGTATTATGTCTCTAAGCTCCCATGACAGCCAGTAGTTGAGCTGACCAGCTCGTATGCATCCATTTAGACTGAGCTCCATCATTCTCCCAAGGACTTCAGCGAGAGCTTACAGGCCCAGTGCAACCATAGACACATACACTCAGACTCTTCAAATAAGATGTGGTACTCTGCAGCTGAATTACACCCCTGACTTCTGAGAGATGTGGATACCTTGTGATGTTTGACCAAGAGCTTTCTTTTGACTCGGAATGGAATGGTTCACAAATGCGCTCACAGTGCTCCTGGAGAGATCAACAAGTTCTTCTTGGTACTTGGAATAAAAATTTATAGACAGATCACATTCTGTCAAATAATATTTTTTATCTAAAAAGGTGGATACATGTATTTGGCGCATCTCCCTTAGAGATTGCTTTTTTTCCTTTTCCCCCCAGAAATCTCTCTTTCCTACATAACCAATGTTATTAAAAAAAATAAGAAGATTTATTTTACTAAAACTACAATGCCCTTGGCAGATGGACCATAACCCAGTCCCAGGTGAGGTTTTTAACCAGAAAGCTGCAGAGTCTCATGCTGTGTGCTCTCTCTGGCCTAATGAATCGTGAATAGCTTGAAGTGGGAAGGGATGGAACAGCTTGACCCAGTCCAGTCTGGTAGGAGATAATCTCTGGGATGACAAGAGGATGTACATGTGAACTCCTACAGCCCTGGATGGGATCTAAACCCCGCTACAGCAGTTCCTAGAGCACTTTAGGTCCTGGCTCCAAGTTGTGAAGAGAGGCACCTCTTTGACCCACAGTCAAAAACCAAAATGCCGAAAAAGACCAAGATTTCATACATACCCCACCTGCAGTTTTCTAGTTAGGCAGTTTCCAGTTAGGCTTTCTGGCTATTAGTATACTACATTATTACCATTATTATTAATATATTATTACCATTTATAGGCAAAAATTCTATATAGGCATCAATTAACAAGTCTTTGTAAAGTCTGTATTCCACTCTGTAAACACGTGGTGAGCACACCTTGAATATTGCATGTATCCTTTGTTTCCTCATCGCAAAATTGATACAATGAAAACATAGAAAAAGTCAGTGAAGGGTGACCACCTTTGTCAAGGTGGTCAAAGATACAGAAAAGCTTCTGAACGCAGAGTGATGAGGTAGGCTAGAACTGTCTGTCCTGGAGAAGAGACAACAGAAGGAGAATATTTGAGAGACCTACAAAAGCAATGAGCCCCGTGAAGAGGGTGGGTAAGGACCAAGTGTTCCAGTGCAAGAACTGCTCCTCGGCATCCAGCTAGCGGGCGGCAGGCTGCAAACAGAAGAAGATGAAGGTCCGGGCATGATGAGCTGTTCAGCAGTGGGACGGACGCCTGGCCGCAGGGCGCTGTGAGTGCTGAAAGGGCAGAGGGGCTCATGGGGAGACGGGGCGAGTTTGTGGCAGTGACATCCCAGTGGGGGCTAGTAAATACCAAGATGCCGTTTCTGACTTGGGAAGTCTCTGAGCTGGAAGTTGATGGGAGACGGGAGTGCAGTCAAGCAAAGTGTCTCCAGAAGCTTGCCTCTGTGTACGCTTTTCCCTCAACTTCCCCCCTCCGTCACTCCTGGAGACAAGACATTGGGATGGACGGTCCTTTGGTCTGTTCCAGTCTGGCCACTCCTCTTCTGCTGCACCCCTGTGCTGAATGGTTTGCAACCACTAACGTTTAGCTGCTTAAATCCTTTCTGGCTCCAGGTTACTGATCAAAGCTCTTCCTTAAGGACAGATCCATGAGATATTCTGAACTGTTTAATGTACAACTGTAGTGTGCAATTATTTCTCTGTAACAAGTGGGATAGTAAAAGGTTAGAGCTCAGAGGAGGTAAGTTCTGCAGTAAACATGAGACAAAAAAGGCATGAGAAAACTGAGAGGAGGCAAGCAGGAAGAGGAGAGAATGAAATGGACAGTCTGAAACCTTTAAAGTTCCTAGACTACCTGGTAGTGCAGCTGAGAATGGGCACAATGGAAATTTTGCTGAAAATTACAGAAAGTTCCTGTTATACTTCAGTGAGCTAAGGAAGTTTCTACTAAATTTAATGCACTATCTCCAGTGATTTAAAACAAACAAAAAAAAAAAAACCCAGCCTTCCTTTACTTGTGTCTTTACGCACTGGCAAAAGGGAAGGCAGCAGCCCTGAAGAATGAATGAGCTGCCGATGCCAGCTCATGCCGATGCCGACGCTAAAATAGCATTGCTGCTGAAGAAAATAAATGTTTATGATATTTCATACCATTCATATCCTGAATAGGTTTAGGTGAAAGTCTCCAGAAGAAAGAAGAATAAAGGCAGAGATGAAAAAGAGGAACTGAAAAATACAGAGAAAACTAGGGAAAAGGGAGACCAACAGTTATTGCTGCTGTTGTTGTTGTTGTTTGTTTGTTTTGTTTTTTAATGGCAGACCTAAGGGAAATCTGTGAATACAGAATCAGATTCTACAAAAGAACAAGTACAGTACTACTTTTGAAATTTTATATGATTCTTTTAGATATTTGTCACATACAGGGTTAAATATGTAAACCTTTTGTTTACTCCTGTATGTCTGTAAGCTCGAAAAATGTACAATAATTTTGGCAATAATTTACCAGTATTGTTATTTTTGTGCCTGTGTCCTCAGCTTCATATAGGTTGCCTTTAACATCTACAACATTAAGGAACGCTTCAGTGAGTTAGGACACTTGCTGCTCACAAATTGATTTAAATCAGTTCATTCCACTGAAGTTACCAATAGGTACCAGAGATGAATATAGCCCGGCCTAACTAGCAATAAACTATATTTGTGAAAGTCCTCCAAGTTTAAAAAGAAACAATCACCTTCAGCTTTGCTTTACAAGCAACATTCTAGTAAGATGTAAAATACCTGTATAGAGAAAAGTGTTTGTATGTCCTCCGATTACAACATCCACTCCTTTCACTTTTTGAGCAATGTCTTTGTCCACAGTAAAACCAGAGTGTCCTAGTGCAATTATTTTGTTAACTCCCATAGCAGTAAGTTTATTCACTTATGAAACAAAAATTTTTAAAAATTCATTTTGGCAAGGTAAAAGTTTAAAAAACAAGCAAACAAACAAAAATATCCCAAGAACATATTTACTAATACTTATTCAGTATCTTAATTATTAGCTTTTCCAACAAATACTAGACGATATTGGGTATTATTTCGTATAACTAATGGAACTTTGAATGTCAGCGACTTTCAAATGTCCTTAGTGAGAAGTGGTTCAAGCTCCTAATCCGATCTGATGTTCTCCTGTCTCTCATGACAGTGTTCAGATTAATACAATATCTTGGCATTGAACTATGTATGCTTGTCTATACTCAACAAATTATATTCTGTGGAAAAAAAAATCCAACGATATCAACTGTAGGATCACAGCTTGAATGTTTCTTCATTACTTTTCAGCTGGAGAAAAGAAACTGAATAAGTCGGTCAGCACTTGGGTATAAACATTCGTTTAGTCCTACAGGTTTTTTTTTCTCCCAAATTATATTTCTTTGAGATCTTCCATCTACTCCTGAGATAAATCTCATTTTACTCCACACTTGTCTCACTTGTATTTTCTCTTCTTAGGTTTAAACAGCAGTTTCTTCAAAGTCCTGCACTAAACTCTAAATTGCCTTTTAATACAAAATTATCTCACCTAATGTGAACCACTATCAATACTACCAAGTGACAGCACAGTGCGCAATTGAGCTACTGCCCCAAAAGGAGAACATAAAGAACGGGAAGTCTGGAAAGGAGAAGCCTTTTCCACAGTACAATGTTGGGAAACTCGCAATCTTTCTGAAATGTTTATGTGCCTGCTGAAATTATTCTAACATGACAAACAGTTACAAGACCACTAGATAAACAAAGATTTTTATCCTGGTCACAGTGCTTTGAGTTGCACATAAAGACTTTCTGTGTAAGAGGCTAATTTTTTTTCAATAAAGTTTTAAGAATAGAGTTTAAGAACAGCTCAACAAACTTTAATCCTACATTTTCTGGTTAAGACCTCCAAATAACATTTCTACCAATTTCCCTTCTACCTAATTCCTCTCTTTCCTGCAGAGTTTTGTGGTCCGTTTTCTAATATGCCTTTAAGTTAAAAGATTTACATTAATTTATAACAAAGGGAGGAGCGAAACTAATTCATAATCCAACGCAAAAGTGTCTCAGGAAACGAAGAGGAAACTGCTACAATGGAACATAAAGAGATAAAAGAGGGTTACATAAATTGGTTAACCACCACACCCATTGAATAGTTCTATTATTGCCAGGGGGAATTTCTGTACTGCACATTTCAGAGCTAATTGTGCAGTGTATCCTTACTTTTTCTTCTTGCAGGCCTCTTCCTAGAATCAAAGAATCATAAACTAATTGAAGTTGGACCTCTGGAGATCATCTAGTCCAAAAGCAGGACTCCAAGCAGGAATTCAAAGCCAGATGAGGTTGCTCAGGGCCTTGCCCAAAAAAACTGAAATTACACAGCCTTCTGGGCAACCTCTTTCAGGGCTTAAAAAATGGCCCTTGTCACAACAATTTTTCTTTCCTACGTCCAGTCAACTTCCCACGCTACTGCTAGAGTCCATTGTCTCTTGTCCTTTCTCTGGGCACTTCTAAAAAAGGACGTTTATGACTTCTCTATAAACCCCTTTCAGGCAGTGTAAAACTGCAATTACACCCACTTAGCTTTCCTTCTCCAGGCTGAAGGAAGCTACTGCCTTCAGCCTCTCCTTGGATGGCCTTGTGGCTTAGGGCCTGGCACAGAGCTACTGGCAGATGAGGAAGTCTTAGAAACACTCCTTGAGTGCGGGCCCTTCGTGTGCTCATCTCACCACCTGTGGACTAGCCACAACAGCCAGGCAAGCCACAGTTTGATGACCAATTCTGTAAAGACAGCTCAGCTCCCTAAATAAAGAGCTAGATGCTGTCTAGTTGTGATGACACAGAGTTTCCCGAAGGCCAATTTCTCCCACACTGGGCAGCTACAGTTGCCCATGATAACTGAACTCTCTCTTCATCAGAGCTAGCTCTGTTACACCTTCATGCTGCTGCAGGGTATAAGGCAGGCGTACACCAAGGAAGTACTAATATTATTCACCAACCCATTTATAAAAACTAACAAAAAAACCTACTTCTGTGATCAGGTAAAACAACAATGCCTACTGTTACTCTTTTTCCCACCTCAATAATTCCAGCTCTCTCCCTGGACTGTCATGACACCGCACACAGAGATGCCCATACTGCAGCCAGTGCCGATGGACCTGCCCAGCGGCTCACTGCTACCCACCTCGCCCTTAAAGGGATTCCCGCTTTGGGGCTACAGGGACCTCTCTCACCTGCCCTCCTCGACCTCTCTGTGGCATGTCACACAACTTTAGGACCTTAATCAAATTTCAGATGGATAGCCCTTTATCAAATTTTGCTGAAAATTTATACAGCAGGGGACCGAAAGACAGAGCAATTACATAATACTCGTTTGTCTAAGAAACAATAGAAAAAATATTGCTATTTATTGCTTTGCACTCAGTTACTGATTCTTCAAAACCATTGAATTGAAAAAGTTTTTATATAAGTGCTTGTTATTCATTGCTTTTATCAGTGGGTAGTTCCACTTCTCTTTCAAGGTATGAAACTGATGTGGCATCCTCTTTTCTTTTTAGTTGGGGGAAGAGTTTCACCTACCTCAAAGTAGAATACAAACTGCACTGTAATTGAACAAAAAGAAAAAACAATTGGCTGCTTGTTAAAAACATAATGCAAAGCTAACCAGAAAAAAACGAAATAAGTGGAATTTAAAATTCCATTTTATAAAGTTGGATAAGTTGTTTTTTGCTGCCTGTAGGGTTGTACAGGAAGCAGTTGTGGGTTTCTACTTCACACGAAAAGATCGTGGACAAAAATGTGATGTATTATTTCACAGCACCAAATGTGTATGCAACATCTTTCAGGACAGATAAAGAGATTAGCTGCTTTGTAGGACTTAGAACATGATTTCAGAACTAAAGCAGATGGGTTGGTACCATCAAATATGAGAAAGATAGTCTTGGGGTTATCAACGCTAAGTAGGTGCACAGACAATTTTGCCTGTATATCAAAGTATGAACAGCTCTTGCAGGACGTGTGGAAAAAAATAGCTGCGCATTCAGCTGAAGTAGCGGTACATAACAATACAAAGATCTTCAGAAAAACTGCCAATTGGCTGTAATCTATGAATTGTGACAAGAGTCCCCCTCATCTCTATTGTTTCCACACAGTAACATTAACAGTACAACAGCAGAGATTAATTGTCCCTTGAAAATGAAAACACTGAGATTTAAGGAGTTTTTATTATTTGTTCCAGTTTGTTGATAGCTGTTATAAATAGATTATGAAAAGTACAATTTGTAATTTCATAGTTGTGCTGAAGCTATTGAGATCTAATGATGGAAATTTTGTGCAAGTGTGATTTTTTTCCATGAAAAGCACTGGTGTAGGAATTCACGAGTTCCAGCATTGTCAAGCTTCCTGTCGAAGCCGGGAAAATGCCCTTAGAGGGTATAGCATACTAAAAGGAATTAGTGAAGAGTCGGGGTGTGGAGGGGAAGATGTATCTCGAAGAGGTCTCTTCAGATAAGCAAGGTGCTGAATTTAATTTCACCTTGTGTCTTATTCACTGAATTAAGGAATTGGATTGGTGGTTAATTTTCCACCCACTCACCTCTGCCATGGTTTTATCAGTCTGAAGGATTGCTAGGTTACTGGTGATATATAGTCACCAAATTAAATTAACATATTCTGAATTCACATTTTCAATATTTCCAAATGCTCTGCACACTAAGAAGGTGAAGTGGAAAGTTATACAAATTCTTATCTTTATAAATGGTAGCTGTTAGAACTTGCCCCAGAGATTAACACCTGGTGTTTCCGAAATGCTCAGTTACATTGTGGGATATATTTAGCCTAGGGTTGCTTTGCTGCATCTATGGCTCTAGCAAGCTTTCTCTTTTAATAGTGTTTCTCCCAGTTGCGTTCTCAAGTATAATGTCACAGCCTATTGAGACATTCAGTATAATATTTAGCTGTTATTAGAAATGTCTTTAAATGCTTCAGAGGATCATTCCAACGCTAATTAGATTTTCCTTCAGTATACTTATTTGCAAGAAAGTTAATTTGATGACATTACTGCACCAGCATAGTTCGGAAGAATAACAGAGATCTGCTTTATTTCCACTTAGTGAAGAACAGTATGGGACAATAATGGTTGCATGTCCGTCCCTTTTTCAAACTCAGCATGGCGTTACATGATATCTACCTTCATGGCTTCAAGCACAGGTAAGATTCTATTGCCTACACAAAATACAGATCAATTTTATTTTTTCTATTCATTGAGGGAAAAGAAAGACAGGACTCCAAGAACACAGTACTATAGAATAAGAAATAGGTACAAAAGTCTATTCTAACCTCAGATGTCCACTTCCTGATAATTTACACATACTGCATAAGAATTAAATGGCACAGAAGGAATAGTTCTATCCTGCAATGTTTCCTTAAAGTATTCAACATTCCTTTTCTCAAGAAAGCTATGCATTACTTCTTTACTACTGACCAATGGGCAGAGAATTAAAAATATGAAGTCCTTTTTCAATGTAGAGACGTGTGAAAATTAATGCTAAGGGCATCTCAGGTCCTTTTTTGGAACTCCCGCAAAATCAAGGAAAGAGTCTGATGCAGTCAGACGGGGGTGAAGCTGAGCATGCAGTGACTCTGATTTCCAACTGCTGATTTAAATGTGTTTCTCATTCTAGTAGACTGCTCTATTTTACCAAAAAAAAAAAAAAAAAGTGTTGGAATAACTTCATAGTCAGACATGGAGAAGTCTTTTCCTCATCAGTTCTAATTTTACTCATGAATGAAGCAATTGTGGTAAAAGCAAAATGGGTGTTCCTTCTGTAGTCTAATTTCTGGAAATATTTGAGATCAAAAACATCTTGGGCAACTTCTGTTTCAAAAACACACATGAAGCTCTCCTCGCTTTTACTAGAGCTTAAGCATAGAGTTATCCAAGAGCAAAATTTCAATACGCTTGGAAATGTCTTAGTATAAACGCATTTCACTCTAGAGACAAGCTGTATTCAGACTTAACACTTATTTAAATGGATAAATAAAATACAAAAGAATGTGAATTTCAAGGGAAAAAAAAAAAAAGACAGAAAGCCCCTCACAACTTCTCCACAAACTTCAAAGACCTATTCTTAGATAATTCAGTGATCTGAATCACTCAGGATGAAAAGGTCTTCTATGTAACAAAGCATTCACCAGTTCAAAAATCAGGCAGTTATAAGGCTGAATAAATCTGCGTTATACTGATAAAACAAACTTTCCAATTGAAAGCATTCATCATCCATCTGGATTCAGACAAGTAGGCAAGTAACAAATCAGTAATAATGGATATAATAAACTCATATACTGAAAAGCATACCTGGCTTTGAAAGAAAAGACGTTTCCTTTGTAGTATAACCGACAATTCCTATCGATTCTGAGTCAAAACGTACTATTTTGAAGGGATGAACATATTTCATCATTTCTTTTGCTAATGGGGTTTTTCCCTTAATGTTTGCACTCAGGATTGTAAAATTAGCATTTTTAAGCAGAGGATCCAACAATCCACTCACACCTTCATCAAACTCATGGTTCCCCAAAGCCTGTGAGAAACAAGAAGAAAATGTAAGACCCTACCTCAAATAACAGTATAAATACTCTCATAAATGACGTAAAAGAAATGTTTGAGAACACAGGGTGCGTGTTCTAAGGAAGAACATCCTATCTTGTCTAAAACAGTGCATTCCTGTGGCTCACAAACACAGAAGTGTTGCTTTTTTTTCCAAAGGCTTGGCTATTTGCTTTTCACACTCTCTCTCCTACCAATGGAGATGTGAAAGATCAAAATTGAAACCTATCTAAACAAGATTTTTCATCCCTTGTCTGCGATAGAGAGGATTAACAATCACTACCAAGGAAAATACGTATTTTGTGTACAGAAAAATGCGTTGCTTAAAAAAATACTGAAAGAAATATTAAATGCCAATGACAATATTTGTTACCTTTAAACAAAACGTATTTTAAGAGTTTGTGCTTGGACTAGTTTTTTAACATATTTATTCACATTTAGTAAGAGTTCTTGTGCGCTCTAGTAACAAGAAAATATCATTTTCTACCCATCTTCAATATTATTACCTGGTGGCAGCTCTAACACTTAACAGCAAATGTGTGCATAACACAGTGGCATGTTAAAAGTATTGTACAAAACAAGAGCAGTACATTATTCATTAGCAAGATAATACTAACAAGAGGAGAATGTTTAGTTGTTCTAGGTTGGAAAACAACAAAAAAGGCATTACCTTGAAAAGGATCATGTACTTTTCTCCTACCCACCCCTTTGTCACGCTCAGCCTGAATTACCACATGCCTGCGCTTGCAAATTTGGCAATAGTCAGTGAAATCCCCACAGAGGGCTACTGTGCAAAAGCACAATATACGGAAGAACCCTGTAACGCATTTAAGTGTTAACAAAGAAGAAAAATGTACTTATGAAACACTATAGTAGTGTAACTTGGAACATGGTGTAAAAAGTTTTCAGGTGACTGGAACTTTGCGTGAAAAGGGTGCTAAAGTCAGTGGACCAGCTCTCCCAGACAGAAGTATGCCTACAATTTCCTCTTCAACATTATCTGGGGAAAACTGTATCCATGATCTAAAAAGACTCACATACCTCTCTGCTCTTCTTAGTTGAACAACCCCTGTGTGTTTGTTGCGATTTTTATTCCACAAACAGACCATATCAATTCTGATCACATTTCAACCCAAGCAAGACCCAGGAGCCACTATAAGCATGGAGGCACAATATTTTTGATCAACTCATTGGTAGCATCTTTCTTTTGCAGGAGGCAGTGTCTCCTGGCTTCCTCTGACCCCCACAGGCTGGGAATTGCTGTCTTGCTGGGTGACAGCATGGTCCTGTACAAAAATAAGCAGTATAGGTTTTTCCGCAACCAACTACTCCCACTCGCACTAGCAGGAACACTTCTAATGCTCTAAGGAAGGAACCAAAACGTTCTCATGCTGCTGCAGCACTCTTCAAAAAGAAATAACTGTCTTTAAGAAAATCCTGATTTTGCATGACGCAGTGCAATCTAACTGTTTTCCAATTCTGACTGTGTTATAACTGCAGTCTAATCTGCAATTATAGAATAGGAATCAAACTCCAAGGAAACTCATTCTGACTTCAAGTGACGTTCTAAAAAGACAGCCATAGACGGACAGAGCATTGCAAAGCGGTAACAAGTCATTCCCTTTGGCGGATGCATATGCTATGCCCTCTCTTATCCTAAATATGCAAGTGAAACCCAAAATAACTGGTAGCAAATAAAATAAGAATTTAAATTGCACTTAACTGCCATTAGCTGGTTGTAGAAAAAAAAAAACACTTAAGAAACCTTGTTTCTTTTGGCTTTGTAGCTTGCATTTGGATTATTTCATGTCTGTTAAGACACAAACTTTGATCAAAACTGTTCACATGGTGTGGGTGGTTATAAAGTCTCTCATTCATGAGAAGTCACTGGTGCCTAATAATACAGTCATATTTTTGATGCAGCTCTTTCTCTGGGGAGGAGGATGTGGACCATTTTATATTCCTTTACTCTACCAAACCATCCTTATACATAAAGCTTTTAGGAACTTTGCATCTTTGTGATATCCTTTCAACAGATTTGAATCAATTGGCTAGTACTAGTGAAAGTCACAAGGAGGAATAAGCAGAAATATACACACACATCACATGGCATGTGATCACATAATCCTCATTTTCATAAGATACCAAGCTAAAAATATTTAAAAATCAGGATATAAATTAAAATGAGGATGCAACTTAACAGTAAAAGTAGAACACTTCTGTTACCATTCCAACTAACTGCCTTTGTGGTACTTCATTTGGATTTTGGTGTTAATCACACTCAAAAGCAATAGTGGCAACAAAAAGATTTGGAAGACAATACCTTGCTAAATATAAGGCATGAAGTGATAAAGAGCTCACATGAGAAAAGGACAAACCTTAAAGGGAAATTTGTCCCGCTTGCAGAATAAAAACCTGATAACACTGCCAGGCGGCTCTACATCCTCCCATGGCTCTCCTGCCCTTAAACTGTAACAACTTTTATGACTCATGTTCCTGCCTTCATGCTGTTTGTAATCCTACGCCACTCTCTAACTTCTAACCAGTTCAGTAATCCTCATCCCCTTCTGTTGTAGATATGACTTCCCAAATTCTGCTTAAAGAAACACTAGCTCACTCTTTTCCGGCACGGCACTTACCTCCCTTCCCATGGCACACACTCAGCTCTGTGGTCCCCATGGTCCATAAACAAAAGTATCCAAAAGGAAGCTGCAAAGCAGCCCAGCATTTGCCAACTCTGTCCACAGGCTCCTCGATGGCAGAGAAAGGCTCTGAAGTCTCTATAGCCTCTCAATCTATATTGACCTCTTCTTCTGTCCAGTGACAGTAATGAAATTACAACATGCAGCACATCCACAAAGAGTAAGTGGCTGACTTCTTCATCTAAGGCATCAGCATCCAGTAAAAGACTCTGCATATTCAGTCTGGTCTGGACTTCCTAAAAAACCTTATTATAATTAAAAAGCTAATGGGATTTCCTAACCAGACCTGGATGCCAGTGTTTCCTACAGAATGTATCTCTAAAACTGAACACTAGTTCGGCACTGCTAATTTTGTTTAAAAGAACTTCTTCTTGCCATTTGATCAGAAACCGTAACAATCTCCTGGATTGTTTAGGAACCAGTACAATCAGCAAAGGCAAGGAAGAAACTGACAGCCAGCAGCAAGCTTTGGGAGGGAAGGCAGGAAAAAATCACCTCGGGCCACGTCTGCACTGTAGGACCCAGAAGTGCCTCCTAGCACTTACTAAGGACAAATCCTGAATGCACACATTCTTCCCCATCGTCACCGCGAGGTCAAACCTTATTACTGTTAAGATTAGGAAAACATTAATTTGGCCTTGCAAACAGAGAGCAGTATCTGTCACAGAACTGTCAGGCACGAAGCGTGTCTAGCCCTGGAGAACGCGTTGGGACAACACTTTCCCTTCTGTAGCTGTTTTGGGGCAGAGGGAAAAAAGCAGGTGAAGCCATTTTCAGCCTCCTCCTGAAAATGCAGGAAAAGAAAATGCAGCTTTTTCTAGAGGAAAACAAACAGATGAAGACAGAAGATGTGAAATGATCAGAACAAGGTTTTCCTCCCCCAAGCTGTCAACTGGAAGGAATAAATAGGAAGTCAGTCTCAAACGTAACTTTAATCTCTCTCCTCCTCTCTAGCGGTGTACACAAGCAAAATAAGCAACGATAATTCTTTTTGCATTACTTGAGCCTACGCTTGTTACCCTGGAAAGCAGAGCTAGAAGAGATCTAAGCACCGTGAGTCCCAAATACTTCTGTCTTCTTCTCAGCACTTAATAGATCAGAAGAGACAGAGTAGAGCAGTGGCACGGCCTCAAAGAGCTCCCTCATGGATATGTCATTTTGGTCCCTGGGCTAGTCACACCACACCAGAGCTGGAACCACCAGCCTTCAGTCCTCTCACACGCAGACCCCTACATCACCCCAGGTCCAGTGGAACCGGACGCAATCAGGGTGGTAGGAGAGCAATGGATTTAAAAATACAAAACTAAACAAAATAACCCCCGCCCCCCAACCCCTGATCCTGGAAACAGCCCTGCCAACATGTGCCATCCGTCCTTTCCCCCAGGACACAAAGCCAGCGGGCAGGCTGTGGCACACCGTGCCAGCCCAGAGCGCTAGCATTCCCTCGGCAACGGTTAACCCCTCCGACGAGCAGGCCTGGCTCTTTGCCCAGCTTTCACTGGGCCCCCCCCTCCCCCCCCCCCCCCCGCCTGCCCCCCTCCCTCTCCAACAAGACCCCTCTCGCCCCGCCACTCACCCCAAGCCCTCTCCTTTCCCCACAAGAGCCCTCTCACTACATGGCTGCCTTTTTCTCTTCCCCTTTGCAGCCTTGGCATAGGCTCTCCAGTTCAAGCTCGCCAAGGGGTTGCCAGCTTGGGGCATTATTTAGCAGGGCGCCCTTCACCTAGTGCATCACTTCTCTTCTGTTTGCTTACCTTCTGGTCAATCAATTAACCACGGTTTTACGACGACTACTTACAGTCTCCTCTGATGCAACGCTACACGCGCAAGCAGGCAGCAATTGCAAAAACGAGCAAGGGTGGCAAAAGCTCAACACTCGGGGGAGGGAAAAGTCCCCTTGCCC